AATCGCCGATTCATGCATATGCGTAAGATTCACCAATTTGTTGTTCTGCACTTGTTGAAGGCAGTGTTTGAGGATGCGACAGATTGACCTTTCTTTGTTTGGTTCAGCTGTTTTTATTGATGTTCATTTGGGTATGATAATCTTGATCTATATTCGGGTATTACGCTCGCTTGGGTTCAAAATTAGACAAGTTTAGCTTAAAGGTGTACTGTCACGATTTTGAGACATGACAAAAGGGACCCTGTTCATTTCTTTGTTATGCAGTATTGACGCTCTCCGCCCGCCAGAGTCAGCCAACGCGTACAAAATATCCTCTTTTATTTTAAAGTTTTTGTCGCTGACCATAAGCAAGCCATCATCCTCAAAACTTCGGACATTATCCAGACGAGTGAGCAAAGTTCCACTGAGTTTGCGTACTTGGCGTCCTGCATACAGCCTATATACGTCACAGAAATCACTGCGGGGGTCGCTGGAGATAATGCACACATCCTTGCTTACGTGCACCACGAGAAGATGGCAGATATGCCGCTAGCACTTCGCGAATTACTGTCTCCCCGTGAGGTATATTTTAGTGAGTCTGAATGAGCTCTAAATTTTTTGCCGACCCACGATTTGCTCGCTGCAGCGGTCGCGTTCGCGAAAGGAGAGAGCTACCTGCGAAAAGAGCCAAAGCACGGGCAGTGTCTGCGTAGTCGACACTTGCAGCACGCTACTTGAATGCAAAGGAGTAGCAACTGTGCTAGTTGTTCGTGCTCATCCTATGAACATACAGCTGTCCGTTAGTTTCGTGCGTCTTCTGTGTTTGGGCAGCCTGCTGCAAGTGACGAGCTGCGACAGTGGTTAGTTCGTGCTCGTCCTGTGCATGCGTTGTTCATGCGCCGTTTGTGCTTGAGCAGCGCGCTGCAAGTTTCAAGCTGCTTGTCGTTCATTACTGCGACTTTTCTCTCTCTTGTACATAAGTTCGAGGTACGTTGTCTTTTGTTTCACGTGAACGGATACTTGAATTGTTGCCGTAAGAGATTCTTGACGTCACGTAATCTGAGTTCACAAGAGGCCTTGACAAGAGAAAGATCTTGAAAAGAAAGATTTCCTGCGGCTTAAGTAATCTCATGTTGTATTATTAAATCCCACCAAAATAATAATTCCGGTAAGAGATAGAGCATATACAACGTATAAGGGGGGAAAAAACAAGATATACAGCACTCTCCAGGAGAATAAAAGATATATACAAGAAATATACTTGATATGAACGAACTAGGTCGCCGTGGTGTCATGGAGTAAGTTCCTTCCCTATTACCTGCGCTCTTGTAAATCATAACTGGGGAGTCAATTAGACGGGCTATGCGTGGCAGTGGCCACTTGCTTACGCGCAACTTCACACCCTGGCACCGGATGTCCGAGCTCCGAGATGAAGGCTGCGTAGCAGGCTGGCGAACATTTATGCGTAGCACCCTTTTGGCCTCCTGCTCACAAATTTCCTCCTCCTCCGCTTCCTTAAAGGCCGCGCTTCGCTTGGCATGATGTCACCGAGAAAGTGGGGTGGATGGATGGATGTGGCTGTACCCATTAGAACGGGCGGCGTCTAACGCCATCTAGCCGTAATACTCTAGGCGGCTGGCTTTACGTCTGCTAGCTTTACGTCTAGGTGGCGTTCCTGGACGTAAAGCCAGCAGAGTCTTCTGGTGGGCAAGCGGGATAAAGTTAAGGGGCTCCCGACGGCTCTTGTTTTATGGGCCTATTTATCACCTTCCACCCTCCCTGCAATATCTTTTGAAAGCAGCCGGGTCAAAAGCTACACGCTGTCCCAGGAACAAGACAATAGCACATTACCTATATGTGCCTGTGCGTGTGGGAAGGGGGGAGCCTTTCGCGTAGTTTGTATTTGCTAATTGTGAAAGCAGCCGTCTACGAGGGCAATTTACGGTTTCCGTGATAACAAACATTAGTGATCTCGCACTCCATTTCTCATTTCACTGCTTGTGCGAACGAAAACAAATAAGAGTAAATCTGAATATTTGAGAATATCCGTTCTTCTTATTCTCTTTCGCTTGCTCGCACCGTTTGCTTGATCGCGTGATCATCCCGCGCGTCTTGCGGAGGGCTCTTGCAAGCTTGAACTCCCTTGATTGCACTCGGGAACGACTTACGGCACTGATGAGCGCGGAAAAATAAGCGTATAAAATTCACTCGGCATTCTTGCGCTGTAAGTTGAAGGATTCCTCGGTGCCCTGATCCCGCAGTGCCTGCAATACTGCCGATATCTCGACCGCGTCAGATGCATTCTCGTAATTTATGAAGGCTGTGTATAGGGGTTGGTTGTATTCCGCTCACTTCTCTATTACCTGACTGATAGTGCACGATATGATCTATCGTTGAGTACTGCTACGTCCTTTGGTTGATTGAACGATAAGGTCTTCATAATTCTATTAGTTATTATTTTTTGTAAATAGCACGTCCTTCAAGTCCCCTTCCTTGTGGATTACAACGCTGGAGGTCTTCCATAGGTCTCGCAACATCGCCGTCAAGAGACACTTTGTAGACAGAGTGGCCAATTTTTCTAACACAATCTTCCCCTATCTTTCAGGAAAATGATACGTGTAACCTTAAAAGACAGGAAGAGAGCAGAGTGGGTCAGGGCACGAACAGGGGGTTAACGATATCACGGTTTAAATCAAGAAGAAATGTACATGGGCCGCACACATGACACCTAGGCCGGATAACCGCTGGTCATTAGAAGGACATAAGAGCAAAACAATTTTTCGCCAATTAGTAAAGCACAATTTAACAATCCGAAAAACACCAATCTTACCTGGACGCGAGGCTCGGTAAACGAAAAAAACGTGCGAATGGAAAACTCGGGTGGAGGCGCACCACCTTAAATTTACCAACCCAGACACCATGGCGCCATAATTTTCGAAGCCGTTCACTGGTTTCTGCTTAGCTTCCAAACGACAAAAAGAAATACATTGTTATCTGTGGGTGCCATAGACCTAGCATACGAAGGCTCACAAAATTTGATCGAGCCAATGTTGCGAAAATACGAGAAATATATTTTGAAATTTTTATGTCAAGCGCGAAGATTTCAGCGCCAAATTTAAAAACAGTTCAACCTCGATTTTTTTTTTTGGTTTGTTATTAACTTACGACAGTGGCGCATATGGCACTGAAGTTCTCAGAGTGCAGTTTGTCAATATAAACCAAATGATTCTTGTTTTTTAATGTCCCTTAAAGGGTTACTGATAGATTGATATGTGGGGTTTAACGCCCCAAAACCACCATATTATGATAATGATTATAAGAGGCGCCGTAGTGGAGGACTATTTCGCCCACCTGTTTTCTTCAATGTGCACCCAAATCTGAGCTCACGGGCTTACAGCATTCTTGCCTCCATCGGAAATGTACCTTAAAGGGTAACTAACAGAATTCCAAGAGAAGGCAAATACGTGAGAGGGAGACAGAAAATTAGGTGGGCAGATGACATTAAGAAGTTTGCAGGTATAACGTGGCAGCAGAAATGGCAGGACCGGGTTGTTTTGCGAAACATGGGAGAAGCCTTTGTTCTACAGTGGGCGTAGCCAGGCAGATGATGGTGACAAAGCTGCATAGCTGTAGCATACTTGCATTCCATTCCAATTGCAGTTGCCAATATTCTTTACAACTAAAAGCAAACCTTACATTCAAAAAGCAGGGATGTCTTCTTAACTGAACTCGTCTTTTATTCAATTATGTACTTATTAAGACAACTATGGGCATTGCTATGAGCATGAGTGACTCATCATCAATTATTCAAGGTATATGTTATGCTAATGTGTGTAAACAGCCTTACATTTCAGCCTGTTATTGTATCATTGAGGTTCTACTCAACTACCAGGTGCAACACAGTACCAGTTGTGTTCAACATTATCCGACTGTTGTCGATGAATAAAAGAAACTGATCATCTTGCACCATTGGCTGCGTCACTCCAGCAATTTCATGCTCTAAAATAAATTCATGAAAACTTTCACAGTAAATTCCACAACACCGGTCAGAATATAAACTACATGGACGACTTTGCATTAATCTTGATCGAGAGCCCATGTCTTCATGCAATGTCAGAAGTCATCACTCTTCACAACTTATTTCCTAAACAATGTAATTGAATTAAAAATCGATCGGTAAACAAGGGACGTATGAACCATTAGTGCTACTGATTAGAAAAAAAGTAATCAAACAGATCTAGCCCTTCACATAGAAGTCTGCCAGCCAATTACAAGTTGCACAACCACGAACTTACCAGGCAGCTTCAAAATGATTCTTCTACAGCGAAAGCTGTTACGCGATCACAATATGGGTCATGGCGAAGCCGTAGTTGTCTGCTGCTGCCGGTGTCCACAAAAACTATCGCGCGAAATAAAAAACTCGGTAAATAAAAAACACTAAGGACACAGTAGGATTTGAAACCCAGGTCCCCTGCATGTGAGCCTAATATTCTACCTCTGCGCCACGCCGTTGCTTGGAACTAGCTTTCAAAGTTGCCTTAGGCAGGCTTGATGTCGGGAAAGGAATCGCATTAATATAAGTAACAAAGCGTTCTAGAACATTAAAGAAACAACCACACGTCACACAATGCGAATTGCATAACTAGTTGGTCGTCCAATGCTTCAACCCATTGCAAAAGCTTGTTCTCATTCACCTATTAACTGTGGCACATACTCACTTCAGGCCCAATTTTTCATCGCCGTCAGCTACTGCATGAAAAATTAGCACAAAGTTTTTTGCAAGTGTGTAGCGGATACCGCACTTTCCCAAAGAATGACAAAAGATTGTATAGTGAATGTTGGCCTACTACACAGAAATACAGATTATTTATGGCATACAGGGTGCTGTTGCAGTTACTCAAAGAGTGCTCAGAAAAGGATTGAAAAGGCCACTCTTCGAGCTTTCGCTGTGACTGTAGAGTACGTTTTATGCAGGTCTGGCGATTTTTTTTTTATCACTACAACAAATTTCAATCAAAGAGTAAGGAGAGAAAACAGTTTTTTATCTGGATCACAATACAAAAAAGCAACAAGTGCAGCTTGTGACCGTAACAGTTGCATCACAAATTATCTTCAAAAGAGTGACATTTTTACAATGCATGTACTACATAATGCACCAAGCACACAGCTCTCTTGAAGAGATGGAAGAAAACTAGATGGACACAAACATACAAAGCAAGCACAACAGACAATTAGGCAATGTGCTAAGCACAGTGCAATTCCCTAGTTCTAATTACCATACAACAGACACAACCTCGAAACTATGTTACACAACCAAAACTAAGTGTAAAGTGTTTAGCAAAGGTAGAGTGCACTATTCTACACCTTCAAACTGGCGCCAAGGTAGGTGTGCATAGTTAGGTACGAGACTAACTAACGTGGCAGTCGCACTTTTATGCAGGCTATTCCTGTTCACGAAAACACTTCTGTGAAGTAGACGTCCTATATAGCGACAACTGTGGTTCATATAACATTACATCTGAATGTCTTCGCAATCACTGTTGAAGAACAAACAATGCTTTACACTTTTCACACAACTGAATGAGTCCTTAAAGCAATGTACCACATGCAACAAACCAAAAGACGCAACTAAATAACGTAATAAAATATCTCGTCAATAAATACCCATCGTAGAGTAGAGAGTTCGGCAATGTAAATATTAGATTAAAAACCGTTTATAGAGTGCTAAGCACGGCCGGTTTGTATTTATAGCACATCTATCAAAAGTTGAAATCCTAAATAAAGATAGCATAACAAACTTCAGAGCAATAGCTCTATACTAAATATAAAGCGTGATGTGCAGCCTATAAAAAAAAAATTCTAGAAAGGAAACAATGTGAGATTCAGCAATAAGGCTGTGAAACACTAAAAAAAGAAATATATAACAATAGTACAGGAGTAATCATGAAAATATATTAAATAGAAAAGCACCTAACAAAATGTGGTTTCATGCTTGCCATACATTCAAGCTTGCTCACAAGAATTGCGGTTGACTAATGCATACAGTACTGTATACCTACATAATAATTAAAATAGCTACACAAACAAGAGTGCAATAGCAAATGTGCCTTACAAAAAATGTCTTACGTTAAATGGTAATCAGCAATTCGACAACAACTACTGTCTCGTGTGGACAGCAGGTGGCATGAAGAAAGTAGTATTTGAAAAAAAATCTGTCAAGCTGCAGACACGAAACCAGGCAACGCGATGGTCATTGTCAGGCAAGTACGATATGCTGCTTTCACCTCAATGTGACAGATGGCAGTTCCCGCATATTTTCGCGTCTTTTATGTGGACACAACGCATGAAGTTGTGATACTGACCCTTACATTGCAAGCTTTCTCACATTTATTTGGTAATATGAAGAGGAAGAAGTGACGTGCATTTTATAGGTAGTTGCGCTTACTCAATATTGCCCTAATTACACACTGCACTGCACTTAAAATGAGCTACAAGTACTGAACAAGAAGCAAGCAATGTTTGTCAATGAAATGATGCCTAAATGACCTCATAACGCTGAGCCTCTGCGGAGTCTACGTCGCAAGAGCTTCGCAGTGTCGGTAAGCCAATATGCGCAACAGCGCTTGGCACATTAGCACCCCGATTTTATCGGGACAGCTGAGCAGGTGTCGTTTTGCCACCCAAATAATTCTTTTTCCATGGCAGCTGCTGACTATTTTTACAAAACCAACAAGTCATAAACCATACAAGAACGAAGCAAGAAATATCGACACTGACACCACAGAAACTCGCCTAGTCCATCCAAGTGACAACTGAACGGCCAGAAAAGTGAATTCCAGATGTAAGGCATTTATACACTAATGAAACAATTCGTTCAGAGTTTTCTTTCCAGCTCCAGCAAAACTGAGCAACATCGTGAATTCTGCAAGGTCCATTTTCTTTTCATAAAACCTTCCCGTAATTCGGCTCGAAACAGCAGGAAAAAGACAACCAGACACTCTGTTTGCCTAATGTCCTGCCTGGAGAGTCATAGCTGGTTTTGCAGAACGCCCTTCTCACAACTTCTACAGCTCACCTAGGGTGAAGCCAACTTGCACTAAAGTTTCAGTGCTCCAGAAGATTTCCCTCTTGAACTTGAGTGATATGACTTCTGAACAGTCAACCAGGCTTTCACACATTACAGAAGTGAAATCATATGCTACGCGATAGCCGTAATCGAGTTTGTTCAAATATACAAAAGTATACCTAGAACAATACTATAAACACGCAAACCAGCAAAGGATTAGGTAAGAGAATTACGCCTTTGTTTACGTACTAATTTTTAAGCCATAAATCCACACAAATTTCCGCATCGTACTAACAAAACACAGTAAATGCTGAGTATGCGCATAATACACAAATGCATACAATAGGGCAGCAAGACAAATATTAGCTGCAGGAACTTCTGATGTGCCATCTACGGGTGGCCTGTGATGTCTTTCGTACACATTTCCTTGGCAGAAGAAGCAGAGCTGCAGCAGAAGAAAGATGTTTGCAGATGCATGTGATCCCTTCTTGAGGATTACATTATCTGATGACCATCAAATGCCCAAAAAAGCTAGTTTTTAAAAGATAAATACTGTGTAAACAACTTTCTCTACATTAGAGCTTCTAAATGTATGACAGTTGCACGTTAAAACAATTATAAAAATTTTCATGACTAATATTAAATAGGCATTTTCAAATTACGAACAATGTTTTTTGACCTCATTCAGAGAGATGAGCTTTTCTTTTTCTTATGCTTGAATGCTTGATGCCATGTAAGTCACCGACCGATATTTCGGACCTGGCGGTACTTCAAAATAATCCAAAAAATCCAAGTTCGAAAAACCTGGTAAGACATGAAAATAAAATTTATTTGCAATAAAGAAGCATGAAATAATTTCTTATAATACACTGCTTCATGCTACACTAGCTGAAAAGCAGATTTGATTGTATTTGGGCTACAGTGAAATCACTGCCTTGGGTATCACAGCTACTGATCATTACAGTGCTATGGCCCAGGAGGTGGGCCTATAGCACTGAACATACAAAATTTGAAGCCAGTCACAGAAAGATACACAGAAAGTCTCTCTCGGTAGGTGGAATTTAACAACGCGGGCCGGCTCCTTTTAGCCTACACTGACAACGCACAGTACATGAGTCTTCAGCCTTTGACCAGTATCGAAATGTGACCCCAGTAGTCCCAATCAAATCTGCCTGTTGCAGGTCAGCAGCCAAGCCCCGCTACCACAATGGCAGAAAACATATGGCACACACATCTCAAAAACAGGCCTGACACTAGACCAACATGACTGCATGCAGAGTTACAACCGGGAAAAAGAAACGTGCGAAAGAAAACCTACTAGCATAGTAAATATTATGGCAAGACTGGCCTGAAAAGAAAAGTTGCGCCCCTAGACCATTTTGTCAGACAAGGAAGAGTGAGCATGGCCTCCAAAACCGAACATTGTGCATGCTTCAAATCTTGGCAGCTAAACAAGTGGCTACTGGAAGCTAAGCTTGATCTAGCCTTCAAAAAATTTAACACTGCCCCTGTCGAAATCCAGCAGCACGACTGAAAACAACTAATTTAGTAAAAAATAATTGAAACTTAATGATGCGAGTTCATCTGAAAAATTGCTTGCGCAAGTGCATTAGTTCCATGGTGGCTTTGACGGTACACACTAATAAAATCTGAAATATCTACCAAGTCTAAATTTTTCACATCCAAAAATTTTTCGACGACAGTATACACTATTGAATAAAATGAACAACTCCGAAAAAAACTACTCACAAGAATTCCACATTCTGTCAAGCAGCACTTGGGATCAGCTCGATCATTCAGGACGGCTACCCTTCCATTGTCTATGATGATAGAGAAAAGAAAAAGGGATAATAAAATGTCATTTTGATACATTTACAAACAGCCTGAATAGTCAAGAAACACAGTCTAGTATTACAGAATTGAGTTTGTGGTGTTCTGCAAAAAGTGCACAAGTAGGAGTGTGCGAATATTCGAACACTGCAACATTTTTCGAATTGTGCTCGTTAATCCATTCCATTTGCACCGGAATATCACCATTTGATGTAATTGAACTACCGGAAAATAAATATAATGACGATAACACGATGAGCAGCATGCTTGGTCTTGCATTTCAGGGCTCCATGAAATCACAAGCCATTTGCCCCAGTGCTCCAAGCGGTCACTGCAAGACGAGCTTGGCTGGGCTATCTACGGCCGATCATTAAAATGCCCAATCATGCTTTAGAGGTGCAAAGGCCGATTCGTTGCTTAGATCAAAGCACATTGTGGCTTTTTTGCCTTCTCATCTCTGCTAGCACACCCACACAGTCCAGATTAGTCTCATAGATCGGCACCCTGAGTAGTGGAGTTAAGCGTAGCCATGACTTTGAGCAGCATGCTGTCCCGGTGCCCGATATTTCAAAGTACATTATCCTCAATCACGAATACAAAGAATCATCCCGCAATGGTCCTCATCACGAGGTCCAATGTGCCGATATACAAAACAGTCAGTCCGAGATGGATGCCTGCGATATTTCTGATGAGCGGGGCACACTCTTGCAACTTGATTACGCAGCTTTCACTAGCAGCTGTCAAACTAAAATATCATTATAATTTAAGTAATCGTTGCCCCATAAATATAAAACGAGAGCAAACATGTTACTAAGTAGTACGATTTTCGATAGCTGCGACTTCACAATACTCGCGTAGCCCCAAAGTGAGGATCGGACCAATGTCAATGCATGCTGGAGGTACATGGTGGACTTAGCCACTCGGGAGTCTCGAAATGAACCTCAGACGTTTGCTTATTGTACCGTTGTTTCAGAAAGGAGGACCTAGCTGATGGGAGAAATTTGAAGACCGAGAAGTGGTCTCACTGATGAACTCAAAATGGCAGTGGGCACAGCTATAATTTTTGAACGCCTTCTCTTTTTCATGACTTCTGCAATGATTTTCATCCCCTCAGCACACGCAAAACGTTTTAACGACAGTTCTATGTAGTTTTCAGTGAAAACACTATGTAGTCATAAAATGAGCTATGGAAACTGAAAATGCGATTTTCATTATATATCAACCCATAAGTTGCAGAAAAAAAGTTGCAGAGGATTCTTAAGAATATTATTACGAGATAGCAACAGAAAAACTTTTTTTCGGCAAGGCTGATGAAGCACTGGAGGAGTACTGCTAAGCCACATTCCTCAGCTGCCTTATAAAAAATGAGAAAATCCAGTGCCTTTACATAATTTGGTACAACCAAAATAATGTTGAGAACTCTCTACACGTCGGGGCTGGCATCAGTGCCGGAGAGAAAGGTCCAGTGATTACTGTGCATGGCTTTTGCGGACACTAGACAAGTGCGTATTTTTGCAAACACGGCCAAGTAAAATGTTCGCATTAAGATGTAGTAAAAAACATGGCCGAAGAGAAAATTTTTTTCGCGTGACAACTCATGCACACCCCGGCAGTGCATTGTCCGCTGTATGAAAATGAAACTGTGCAGCTAGCTATTGTAAGCAACGCAAGTGGCTTAAAGTGCAACAGTTTTGTCACGAGCCGCATTAACTTCATATTTTGCAGTTTTTCAGGTGACACCAATGAATTTTACACTGTGAAAAGTGACAATCGAGATCGATTTCTTGAAAAGCAATTTTCAGTTGCTGCAATTTTTTTTTTAATTCTAAAATGTCTTCACTAGGTAGAAGTACAGTAAAATATATCTTTCACCTGCTGAGGTTGCAAAAATTATTGAGGAAATCAAAAAAAAAAAGGCATTGTAAAATCATAGCTCAGCTGCGACTAGGTGCCACCATTTTGGGCTCGTTATAAATAGCATTTACAAGTCTTCAAATTTCCCCCTTCAGCTAAGTCTTCCATTCAGAAACGGGTGCTCATAAAGAAAATTTTTGAAGCTCTTTTCTAGGCCTCTAGCTCCTGCATACGCAATGTTGTTCCAGCCACCTCACTACTGATCTGATCCTCCCCCCGGGAGGATATCTATTGCTTGCACATGACGAGGACACGGCCGTTGACACTCACGCTACTTAGTGATATTTGCATTCACTCCACGTTTATGGGTCGAATATCATTCAGAATACAATATACGCTGTAGTTTGGCATTTTAGAATATAATATACGGTTTAGTTTATCAGCTGCATGCATAAGTGCAATCAGCATAACATACTTTGAAACATCAAGCGCCCTGCCCACACACATTACGACCGATCATGCTGTTCGACTCGTGGCTAGGCCTCACTCCACCCATGGTGCCAGCGTACGAGAAGAATCCTAACTTTGTGGGCAAGGACATCACACTGGCAGACATGCGAAAACGAAGAAGCGGTACTGTACTTCGTCGAAAACTGTTTATGACTCACATCACCCGTTCGCTCCTAATAAACATGGATAGGCATTTCACGCATAGGCAGTGACCCACTGGCCAAGGTTGTTGCTCAGCGGCCACTAGGAGAACTAAAGAGCTAGCAGTTTCGAACATCGGCGCCTCAAATTGCAAGGCCAGGCATGCTTCCCGCTGACTTTTTATCATCATATTTATTTTCCCTTATTATATTTATCTTTCTCAAGTTCAAATACATTTAATAGTAAAATTTTGATACAAATCAAATGGAATGACAAGTGCTATTTGAAAAATATTCGAAAGTTCAAATATTCGTGCACCCCTACTCACAAGCCAAAAGTCTAGGACGCACACTGAAAAAAATCAAGACCCCGTACAAGTATTATACCATGGACCCTATAATCTCGTCATTTAGAATCACAGTGATCCGTAGTTAGCACCAAAAGCGAGTTGTCTACATACAGGTGTTGAGATGTTCGTACAGTATGTCTTTGCACAAGCAAGCGAACAGGCGTAATATGCATGATCATCATCATCATCAGCCTGACTACGTCCACTGCAGGACAAAGGTCTCTCCCATGTTCCACCACTTAACTCGGTCCTGTGCTTGCTGCTGCCAATTTATACCCGCAAACTTCTTAATCTCATCTGCCCACCTAACCTTCTGTCTCCCCCTGACCCGATTGGCTTCTCTGAGAACCCAGTTAGTTACCCTTAACGACCAGCGGTTATCCTGTCTACACGCTACTTGCCCGGCCCATGTCCATTTCTTATTCTTGATTTCAGGTATGATATCCTTAACCCCCGTTTGTTCCCTAATCCACTCTGCTCTCTTCTTGTCTCTTAAGGTCACACCTACCATTTTTCTTTCCATTGCTCGCTGCGTCATCCTCAATTTAAGCTTAACCCTCTTTGTAAGTCTCCAGGTTTCTGCTCCGTAGCTAAGTACCGAAAAGATACAGCTGTTATATACCTTTCTCTGCATGAATCAGAACCAATGAACTCACCTGTCGTGCCTCGTACGAACTGCTCCAGAAAAATCTCGCCGTCCTATAAAGAAATAATAATAATAAAATCCGACAGACTACACTAACAAAAAACAGTCTTTATTGTGACACTTAAAATTCGAAGTAGTGCACTTGAACCAAGATTAACAAATTTGACAGGTTATAAATGTAGCTCTCATACTATACAGGATTAGGGGCACTATTCAATGAACTTAGCCACAGTGACAGCCTCGAAATGCCACAATTGCAGGTAGGTGTGCTGCGTAAAATGCAATTAAGTAAGATTAAGGGAAAGTGCTACTCGAAGACACTTTTTTTTCAATATTCACCCCTGAGCAATGAAACTTGAGCTGTTTATGGAACTCTTTATGCCGATTTCAAACATAAATTAGTTTTCTTGCAAGTTGCTTACTTTAAGCTCTACGAAATGACAAAGTGAAAACCTTAACCCTTTTGCCCCCCTCATTTCATTCCTGATTTTCCGTAATTTTTTACCATTCATAGTTCATAATCTTTGAAATTAAGTGTAGAATGCAAATAACTAATTAGGAAGCACATACAAAATATGTAATAGGCGTGAAAAATAATAGACGTAAAAAGTCCATATTTCACCTACCCTAGTAAAGGTTTACATAGATTTTTTATTATACAATAAATTATTGAAATTTTAGCTACATAATTGCATTCGCTATACCTCGGAAAAAATTTGGGCAAAATTTCATGCCAATCCGAGCACTAGAAGTGCCCGAAAAAGGAGGGGCACATTGAAAAAAATAGCAAAATTTGTGTTTTGAAAAAAATGAGTTTTAAAGTTAGAATTGAGTTTTCATTTATGAAAGATATTATTAAATCTGATGAAATTTGCACACCAAAAAGAACAATCCTTCTTGTAGTGGCCACTGCGACTAAAATACGCCAGCCCCATGAGTTTGTCCCTCTCGGCTTTTTCGAGCTGACTCCTCACAGACATTTCGCTCGCAGACAGGGCCATGAAACACATGCCAAACTTCCGCTCCATCTGGCAGAGCCTTGTGCCAACTGCAAACTAGGAAGAAGTTCGACTGTGAAATCCAAACTAAGTCCAGTGTCATGCCATTTTGCAGCCATTTTTGTGCCACATACCGTCGTACATAATGGCAATGTCGTCCCTGCTAAGTTCTCTCACTGCGAGTTCTTTCAACCTCGCAAGATTGGTGCTGACGTCGCCCATTGCCGCACCACGAACTTTCCGGCTAACGGGTGTGAATGACTTTTGATGCATTGGTTTTGGTTTTGATGCATTGATCGGAAGTTCAGCATTGATCGCAAGATGGTTTCATTTTGATGCATTGGTCGCAAGTGAAAGCCACACAACGGCTTTCACTTGCGAGCAATGCTTTTTTCCTTCATAACGGGGATAATTACACGAGAAAAACATTGTTCAGCTGCGCTGCTCGACATGAAATGGACCCCGAACATAGGCTTCACAGCACATACAGGTGTGCAGCGGCCAATGGCGGTCCCCGATCCGTACCATGTGATAAGCCAGTCACGGCGCTCGAAAAACGCACAGAAGCGAGCTTCTTTTTATTATTTCTTGTGCCGCATCAGCGAGGGAAACTGTTGTTGCTTGAAGAGTGAGGCTCGACTCTTCGGCTAATGTGATTAACAATGGTGAACGGTGGCGCATTATTGGCGGCAAGGTGCTCGAAGACTGCACACTTTGGACATTTAACAGGCACCTTGTGCTCTTAGATGCAATTTTAAAGCATTTCCAGTTAATTCTCTACCTTTATTTTTTTTATAACAGTAGAGGTACTAATTTTATAAAAACATGCAAAAATTAAAAATCGGAAATATTGAAAAAAATTCATGTTTTTCGACCCGCATCTCCCCTTAAAGTCATTTTTTTACTATTATGCATAAAAATAAAAGATAACTGCTGCCACCTAGATAAGTAATTTTAATACCCCAATAATGCAAAAACCAGAGGAGGCATGAAAAAGAAGTTATAAAAAATCACAGCATAGCCACGCGGTGAATGATGACGAGTGGGTGAAGCTCCAGAAAGAATCATCGGTAAAACCATGAATCTTCCATGTGTAATTCGCCCAGTTGATCATCGTATAAAGACATCATGAGAAACACTGTATGTGTATATATAGAAAGCAACCTTTGTTTGTTCTTAGAGACGATGAATGGCTTGCGATGTACCTTCATTATGATGGCTTTAAGGTGTGTGAAATGAAGGGTGAGCGGCTCCTGTATAGGTTGCAGTGAAAAATTTGCAAATACTAGGTCAATGCATGTTCTTCGGATCGTTGTTGGTTTCTTATGGTCATACGATATACATCCATGCATCCTTCCATGCGCCTGTCCGTCTGTCCGTGCATCCATCTATGAGTCCGCACGTACGTCCGCACATCCGTTCCTCCTTATATCAGTCTGCTAGTCTCTGTCGGACCGTCCATGCGTCTGTCCGTGCGTCCATCTAGTGAACACTCCAAGTACCACCATCTCCCATCTCGCATCCCCTGTGGCACATACCCACTTTAGAGGTGATGTACATAGGCACCATTGGACCAACAACAAACCCCATGGGATGTACAGACCCAGGCCCTAAGGAGCTTTGCCCATAAGAAGAACACTTGATGCAAATATCAAAATGATTACAACACCATAACCTGCAGTAATAAATACTGTGACATATACAGTAGGCTTAAATTTTGTGTGTAACTATGATAGCAGCCATGAACCAAGGGACCCAATATTAGCCATTGAAACAAGTTGTATCAAATTAACTAATTTTACAGTGTACTAGCGGAGCATCAACATATTAAGACAATGCCATAGTAATGCTTCCTTTTTGGTCATGGCAGCTCAAGTCACAATATGGGAGTTGCCTCAGATGGCTAAATCAGACAGTTATATTTCACTGAAGATTTGCACGAGAGCAAATACCACTGTCAAATAAGCAGCTACGAAAATCAAGCTCTTGTTGATGAGATTAAATACACATATGATGCCATAAATTCAGGCACATAACATACTTCAAATATGTATGTAATTTTTCTATTTCGTAAGCAGAGTTTCTACTATTACGAGCTACTGCAACTTGTTTGAAGAACTGAGTACGCTGTGATCGAGACTCGCACTCAACTTCTCAGCAATGTTTCTTTTTTGTTGTGCATAAATATAGCTTTCAAAGTTAGGAATGTTACCAAAATGCACTAGAGACTTTCTTCTCTTTTACTGAGTGCGCAAACAGAGAGCGTTTCTCCTTACACTTTGTCACCTAATCACTTTCTAACCACCGTATTTGCTCACATAATCGACGCACTCACATAATAAGCGCACCCCTAGTTTGGTCGCGGAAAATTCAATTTTTTTAATTGCACGCGTATTAGGTGCACCCCGAACTTGGCTGTGATCAGAAACGATTCTACCCCCCAGCAGTACAGTTGGAACGCGGTCCCCGTAACCTGAAGAACAAAAGATGACAAATCGACGAACAAATAAAAAGTTTCAAAGTGCAACGACCTAACCAACGTGTTTGTCAAAATAAAACGTGAAAAAAAAGCGTCCATGAGCAAAAAAAAATAAACGGCTGTTCCATCAATTACTGATACCCCCCAAATCACCGTGCTCCTTGGAGGTCACGTGTACAATGCCGGGGGCTCGCTCGCCATCACTACCATCAAAGAAAAAGAAAAAAAAAACACCATTTTGCAAGGGGTGTGCGTATGTTGTGGTCGTATATTCAACTTTGGTTCCACCATGGGGAAGCTCGCAAGCTATACAGCTGGATTTAAACTGAAGACAGTGCAGTATGTGCTGGAGCACGGCAACCGGGCGGCAAGCAGGCATTTCGGTGGTGGAGAAACCAGTATTGGGTACTGGACGGATCAAGAGAAAAAACTTAAGGCGACAAAGAAGAAACGACGGGCTTTCCGCGGTGACAAGACCGGCAGGTATCAGAACATCGATGAGCAACTGGTCCAGTATATATGGGAGCTACGACAAAACAGCTCAGCTGTGTCATTGGATATTGTGCAGACTGAGGCGCGCACAATAGCGTGAGCGCAGCGCATCGAAGCAAAAAAGTTCGAAGACAGCTCCAGATGGTCACCTCATATCATGTGGCTCCATGGCCTCGCACTGCGAAGGAGCTTGTGCCAGCGCTTGGCCGCACCATATGAGGACGAAGTGGTGGACATCTACTGTTTCGTTATAAAGCTCTGACAGCAGAAAGACTTCATTTTGTCTCAGATGAGCAACGCCGATCAGACCCCCCCTTTTGCTTTGATATGCCGCGGAACACGACAGTGGAGAAGAAAAATGCACGGAGTGTCATTGTCAGAACGTCTGGCGCTGATAAACAACGATGCACCGTAATGCTGGTGTGTGGTGACAGCGGATGGGCGCAAGCTACCGCCTTACGTTATTTCTAAACGTAAGGACACTCCCAAAGACAAATTTCCTTCAAGGCCTCTATGTCAGAGTCCAGGAAAAAGGCTGGACGAGCGCAGAACTCATGGCGATTGGGTAAAAACAGTCTGAGGTCGGCAGCCGGGTGGTCTGTTGTTCCCATTCATACTTGTCCTGGACAGTTTTCATGGGCACCTAGTAGACCATGTACGAGATGAGCTAAAGGAGCTCTGCAAAGATCTGGCAGTGATTCCGGGCAACCTCACATCGATACTGCAGTCTTTGGACGTGTCCTTGAATAAGCCTTTCAAGGACAATATTCGAAGGCTGTACGCCTCCTGGATGGCTGGAGGACAACATCAGCTGAATCCAGGTGGTAAGATTAAGATGCCACCTGTGGAAATGCTGCGCGCTTGGATCGTGGAAGCGTGGCAGGCGATCTCCAACGAAGTCGTCAGGAAAGGCTTCAAGAAAACAGGTATCTTGAACGCACTGGATGAGAGTGAGGATGACATGTTGTGGGGTGCGGATGATTCGGACATTGAAAACGAATCCTTGCTCAGCGAGGATGAATGTGTGCTCTCCAACTCGAACTCTGAATAGGGAAAAGGAGGAACGTCTATGACTTTCGTGTAAATAAATTGTGCGTGTGTGTGTGCAGTTGGCGGCTCTCGCTTGTACATTAAAGGTACGCAGGTATGTTTGTTTTATGCTGAATTAATTGGTAAATGATAAAGTCGCCTTTTACTTGACAGATGTGCAGATCTAAAGCGCGACAACCGGACCGGAAAAGATTTTAGAAAATTTTACCCCGCGTAATTGCCGCAACCCTAACTTCAAGCAGGATTTTCTGAAAAAAAGTGCACCTATTATGCAAGTAAATACGGTATTCTAAAACATAAAAGCAAATGAATTAGGCATGGGAGAAGGTTGTATAAGCGACATAAGATTGTTAACAGGTCTTTGCACTTCTCTTAAAGACACCCTCTATTTACTCACACAAGAATCACAGCCCACAGAAGTACAAATCAAGCAAAGACATGCTGGCGTACCCCACAGTACGACATTGACCTGCCCTCCCTAAACACTGATAATGTCGAGTATGTACACCCCAGTAGTGCTTGAAGACGAAGCAAAAGAAAATAGGAAAAAGATACACACCCTCTGGCCTGTACTTCAAGTGACACTCTCGAGAGCCCCGGCACCTTTTTAATCTCTCAAGAGAGTTGTGTAGCTCTAGAACCTCCTGCGTTGACAAATCGTGGACTGCATTTCGTAACTGCAGGAAGCAAGAGGATTACAGTTAGCTGTGGAAATGAACAAAGTGCAAAGCCCGACACAAACCGCAGAAAAACCAAGAGAGGGGAAAAAAACAACTGATTCGGCAGCTTTTCTAGCAAGTGCTTGTGGACTTATAATTTGCAACTAGGCATGTTTAGATGGAACTAGCAAGGGGTGTACAATCAAGATGGACATTTACGACACAGAGGCTTGAAACGGTCAAAACAACAGGTCAAACAAAGAATGCCATGTACTGGTGCTGGTGTGTATATAAGTAGGCTCGTTTTCTCCGGTGAACAAACTTGTTTTGTACACAAAAAACATAGACACGCAAGGATAAAAAAAAAAGTGGCTTAATGAGGACAACTTTTGACTCGACATGTCTGGGCCAGTTGAGACATACCACAATCAACGACTATCTAAAAACTTCAATCAAAATTTAAATTATTAATCAGAGATCATGCGAGACATAAGCTATGCAGACAAGAGTATAAATATTAAAGAAAGGACTAATATGCAACTCAAAGATTCTCTGATGCTCCTGTAGCAAGCACTCATATGAGAACGGCGGAAAGAAAAAAGGGCTTTAAAAAAAGCAAAGGAAAAGGGGGCCGAAGGGGGCTGTCTTCATTGAAGTAACTGGTAATGCCTACAACATAACAATGAATTCTGTCAATGCTATCTCTTGGCTGCGCCATTAACCAGTGAAACATTACAAAAGTTGCTGTGGCATGAGATGCAGATGTGATTTCAAGCCGGTGGATGGCAAAATGAAAATCCATAGCCCGTCTTTACGAGTTAGCTTGCACACAAAAAATTTTTAACAGTGGCTTACGTAAGTTGCCGATGTATGCATCGATGGCATAACGGTTTCGGAATTGGGAGTCTGTGCTTAAAGGCCCCTAGGTTTGATTCTTGAGGAAGCAACACTTCCAAGTTCTTCCCAAAATTTTCTTTATTGCTTTTGTGTTTTATTTTTGTACTTCTTTCTTGAAGTGAGGGGGAGCTGCAACTGCAGAGAAACAACTCACGCAAGCTCCCTCCCGCACTTTTTGCAAATAATGAACCCTTCAATACATTAGACTTTCATAATAAAACAATCTTCAAGTTGAGAAGCTACATCACTTTGTAATGGGCCTTAGACGAACCACTTCAATATGGCCTGTTCTAACAAAGCACTGACACTGCGTATGTCACACAGTATATGGGTAATGCAATCCACCTACCTGGTAAGGATCAGTTCTCATGTCATAGAAGGTTATGAAGCCAGTGACGAATTCACAGTAAAGGAAATTGTGCGTCTCATTGATTGTACGAAGGCACCAAAATGTGTTGTTGTTTGCATTTTGGACAGAAACAAAACGGGCCATCTGAAGAGAGAACCACAGCTGCAATGTTACAATTCACTCTACAGGATTATCACACTTTTTAAATTTAACTTCACAACACTCAGACTCACATTTACAAGCGAACCTTATCTGCATCCTGTATAAAAGACTCGAGTGCTGATTCAAGTGCATAGTAGTTTTTAAGCTATTTGCTCAGCGTGGAAAAGTGGCACCTGAGCGAGTGCACTTCAATGCAAGCCGTCGTTTTCAGGGCAAGGCTGTTAAGTGGAGTTTTGCAATCATTTTCGGCTAACGGCATGGTTAATATTAAATGTAGATGCAACTGCTGATCAGAATTAGCTTCGATATGTAATGATTGATCATTATACTACTATATAATTTACATGACCAGCATTTACAAACAGAACTGACAGTCACAGAAAGTGCATGTCTGAAATCTCAGCATCTGCTTACATGTCCAAAAGGGTGCAGTCTTCCAGTGGTTGTTGTCATGAGTGAAGCAGTTCATTTTCTCAAGGATTGCATGTCGTGTTTTCAAACTTTGACTTCCGGCGGAACTTTCGTTCCTTGCGCCTAAGTTTCTCTTCCTTGGTCCTTCCGTACTCGCTGCCGAGCTCTTCGTGGCTGAAAAAGCAGCCGACGCTATTTTTAAACACGCAATAGTGTGACACAAGTTGTGAAAATGAAATCGCATGCCACTACATAAATCTACACTCGTACAGCACGACAAGCGTAGACATCTGCTGCATACCTGCGAGCAAGTTCTTTAAGCTAGGCTCACATTATAGAACTTTGCATAACTACCCTACACGCAAAGACGAACCCCTTAAGGAAAACATCCATTACATTTTGCATATTACAAAGCCACCACATGCCACATCTCTACACATCAGAAGTCTTGCTGAGCAGCAAGAAACCCACATAGCAGAACTACATAGCAGAAGAATTTTAAAAATGCAACTGGACCACCAAACTTATGCAATCCACAAACCTGCATTGACAGTGCGCGTGAAGCGGCATTAATTCATGCTCGTCAGCACAGGAGCAGTTTGTAGCACAGGAGCAGTTTGTAACACACGCATAGAAATCAATTTGAAAATTCTGCAAGCCGAGAGAGGAAACATTCATTGTGGCTCATGATGCGTTTGCCCTTGTTTAGTTTAGCTTTTCACGAGAATTCGGTGTTCTGAATGTAACATTGTTCCAATAGAACGAATAATACTTAGAGGTGGCACGTCATTCGCTATATCAAGATTTAAGGGATGCAAATGTCTCAAGGTACCCTGCACAAAAAACTGGTACTATGTTCCCGCTTTTCATTGTGTTAACAGAATTTCAACATAAACTTATGCTGGCTAGTTGCACCATACTCTAGCAAAAAACAAGTGCATGAAGGCCACTGGCATAGCCAGGGCGAGGTGGCAGGAAGGTCGGCATAAAGCCCGCGAATTTTCATAAAGTAGCGACGCTCTCCTTCTCCACTTTGATTCCTCCTCGTTTCTCCTCATCTCCTCGACTGAGGCACCAGCAGCACTGCTCCAGCACGGCAGACGACATTTCGTAGGGCTAGAGCATACTCGGTCAGGCGGAGCGCTATTAGCATTAAGCTTGTCGTCTGGCCTCGAGCATTTTAATTTGCGGCGCGAGATCTAACTCCCGTGGATTAAATAAATTAATAATCAAATTTTTCCACTGTGTTGCTAAGTACTCCAAAACGAAAGTGTCCAAACTAGTGTTGTAACAGTGGCCCATGATATGTCCAAGAGTTGCATACTACCACACAGCGCACAACTTTTTTAATGAGCCTTTTGTATCGCCAGGTGCTGCTGCGAATCCTTGTAAGTGACACGCTCGATATTGAACACTAACGAAGCAGTATACAGTGAACTCACTGAAACCTAAATAGTCCTCATCAATCTCCTTACATGAATTCGCAGAATGTACAGTCTACGATAGTTTTAATGGACTCGCATACAACGGACTTTCAAATACAACAAACCATTGTTCAGCCTAAGATTGGTCTGTGTATTAAATTAATCAAGCAAAGTTAGCTTTTAACAGACCGCGATACAACAGACTATCGGCTACAGCGGATGAAATTAGCGGCACTTTTTGTCAAAATTGGGCCTATAAAGCAGACTTCACCACGCCGCTCTCTGCAAGCTAAAGCATGGGTGAGCGGATCCACAGAACGAGCGACAAGCAGCGTGGGTGAAGCAAAATTTTGGAAAATTTGCATCGGCGCTGCAGTCGCCTTCACCGAAAGCTACAGCTTCTCCGGGTTGTTGGGACACTAGAACAGTGGCTGGCAGCACCTGTGGTCAGGTGTGTAGCCAGAAATTTTTCTCAGGGGGAGGGGGGGGGGGCACCATTTTGATTTCGGGAGGGGCACCCCTTTAAAATGGCCATCTTTCTCTTTCTATGCCATGGCGGAAAAATATTTTGGGGGAGGCACATGCCTGGTGTGCCACCTCCTGGCTACACCCCTGCCCGTGGTGACTGCAAAAGCGCTGAGCTGTAGTCTGTCCGGCGCAGCATCGTCTGCACACCGCGCCGCCGCTGTCGCGTTACTTTTACCATTTGTTTGCTAGCTACTTTCAACCTTGTTAGTACGAAAAAAAGAATCGAACACAGTGAAGCTAGCCCTGCTATTAGCTATGAGCAGGGTGTTTAACGAAATTAATGTAGTGCCTCCCGTTACTTGAATTATTCGCGACACAAGGTGCGACGCCGTCCACGGCTTTGCACAAACTGCTATGGCAACACTGCGGGATATGCTTGAGATGCGACTGATGCGCGTGACGGCTGGCGACAGCAAAGCTGCCACCGCTGGCCACCCTGCATAGCCATAACCATGAAAGCATCAGCAGTAACCATGGTAACCTTCAGTTGAAGGCAACGGAGGCGCCACCAGAATTTTCAGAAAAAAATGCCTCAGCGTGGAGCCCTGTGTGGACCCACTCCCCCACTCTAGTACACTCTACTAAAGCCACAGTAATTTTAAATGGCAGCCAACAACATTGCTGGCTTGCGGCCAAGCCAAGCCAGCTTGAGAACACGTTGGTGACGTTAGTCATGCACGAACATAGCGAGTTGGCGCCATTTTGTTGTGTTTCTGTGTTTGACTGTTCTGTCTATTTGCAAATTTTGAGGTAATCACCGTAATGGTCTCCAGAAAGCGGAAGCAAATTTCGATGAACGACAACCTCATCAGCTTCTACGATTTCGTGACATTTGACAATGATGTCATCGATAATGACGAGCTCAGTGACGAGGAGGTGAGAGTCACAATCGAAAGCCGTTCTGAGCTGTCATCAGACAACGACAATAAGCACAAAGACGAGTCCCCTGCAGTCAGGCTGACTTCGCAGCAGGTGATTGACCGCATTTATGAGGTGAACGAATGCTTCCAGCTGCAGCAAGACGACTGCAGTGTTTTCAGTGTTGAAAGCTGCAGCTGAATGAAATGCGGTGCTAAGTGATAACAGCATCGCTCAAGGGTGCTCGCCAATCGCTGAACACTAATTTTTTTTCGAAGTAACTGTAAATAAAAGTTCGTGTTTTGCATTCGATGTTCATCACTCATTGCAGTAATGTCTTAGGTATCGCGACGTATGTTTTGAAAGCAAGACGTTCCGGTGCTTCGAGCAGGTGAGTTCTACTCTCAAATTAAAATACAGTCTACTCTCGTTAATTCAAACTCGAAAGAACACCTAAATTTCGTTTGAATCATCAGGAAGTTTGAATTACCAAAGGTTCTCAATTATACGACACTGGGTGAGGTGACACCCCGCATTATGATTAGGCATTGATTTTATCAGATATAAAAATTTTTAAGCATTTTTGAACAGAAAGCAAAGATGTAAGGTCTACAAGTTTATTGGCCATTTACTGCTGACCAGACCTTTTAAAGAAATCGTGAATTGCTAACTGCTTCTTTGCAATACATGTGCCTTCAGCACAAAGCTTCTATACCAGTTCAGCAGCATCATGGTGTACCATACGTGTGCTTTGTTTCAAACACTTGTTTGCAAGCAAAGCCTTTTTCCTTGAAAGCCTGAGCTGCTTATTTTTCATTTTTAGACGGTTAGCGTTGTATGAGCACGCAAATTTTAAAATAGTGGGAAAGCAGCAGATATTTTCTGGTATAGATCCCCAAAAAGTATGAACAAACCGAATGATCGAGGCTTTGAATCGAGGCTCTTAAATGTATTGAAAGAATAGAGGGCCAACCATAAAGTTGAATTTTGTTTGAATTAACCGAAAGCACAAACTATCAGAGTTTGAATTATCATGAGTATTAATGCAAGAGGTGCCTTGGTGCTGCTCAGTTTATAACTTTCAGATGAACTTGGGGTCGCCCGGTGATCCTTGGAATGGAGAGGGTGGGGAGGGGGAAAGAGGCTGCACTCCCGGCAAAAGGCGGCCCGGCCCTACTTCAGCCGATATGCCTTCCCGTTCTCACAAATAAGAGTTCATTCAAAGCCGATCAACAGGAGCGAATAAAAAAGCCTACTGGGTATGTTTTATTCTCGGAATAACCTTTGCTGCAGAGCAGGAGCCACATGGCATCCCTGCATCTACTGTAATGGCACTGTGCTGCAATTTTATTCATAACCGCTGGTAATGATGAAGTCTCTTGTAAACATGCTGGCGAATGCATTCAGTATTCACCAGCAGAACTAGCCTGCCCCATACTGCTGAGCGAAATGGGAACGCTTGTCACACAACAATGCTATCCCTCCCTCCCCAACCCTGCGAAAATTGGATATTACGGACTTCAGATAAAACGAACTCATTTTGCCGGATTATGGTGGTACGTTATAGCAAGAGTAGACTGTATCAGTTATGATGCACAAAAGGAGACAGGAAGAATGAGCAGCAGCTCTTTTAATGGTTCAAAGGGTTGTTAAAGCTGCAGTAATGCTTGCATGCCAACATTTATACTAAGCAGATGCAAAAGCAGAAATGGTCGGCACTGGTGGTATGTCAAGGTCTAAAGCAGCATATTCTGCGAAATGGCACATGCGTTTCCAAGGCTCGTAACGTAGTCTAGCAACAAGCATGCCGTGCATGTAACCCCATTGACCCGCACCAAGTGCAAAGGTACAGTTTTTACATATGCAAACATCAATGTATAAATATATATTTTTGAATAGCAGGTGACATGCACAATTGCTCGAGTTAAAATGATGCCATATGATTCAAACTGAGAACGGCGGAAATAAAAGTATGTGCATTACTTAGCCCTAAAATGCCCTCTTTCAATCTATGAGTACTGTACAAAGCATGCCTTTATCTTTCAAGTCCACTGCCTGACCATCAGGAATAAACAGTCAAAAAGCCCCATTTGCAGTAAAAATGAATTACCAAACAAAAAGTAAAAAAATTGCAATCCTAAGGGAAGATTTTGCAGCTGAAAGACATATTTCATCAAAACAAGTGTGCTATATTTTTTTATTTCCGTAATGAAGCTTCCACGCGTGCCTGTAAATTAGTCAGCCTGCCAGTGTTGAAGATTGGGCGAGTTGGTTCGTCGTACTTGAACTGGTATAGCGCATTATGGGGAAGCAGAAACGGCCGAGCAGACCGACACAAGAGGACAGAGCGCTAAAAGCGCGCTCTGCTTCCCCATAATGCGCTATACCAGTTCAAGTCAGCCTGCATTTTTAATGTTAGGCACACAAAGTACTAACAGGACATTGAGCCTCATAACACATAAAGCCCTAACAGTAGACTGTGTACTGTTGATACCAAGTGAAGATCCTGCACAAACTGTGTCTGAGCGCCCAACAGATGCAGCAAGCCAGCGACATACTAAGTGAAATATAAACCTGCTTACAGTGTGATAGTGCACAGCAAATTGCACAAACCTCTAAACATGCTGCACTGAGAAACTCAAGGGGAACATATTGGACAAAATCTTTTAATTCTAATTCCATGCATTCATGTCTTTTTTTTTGTAACTCATTGCACGCGCCTACAGAACAGTGTCCCAAGGACCTTTTGAGCACCGCTATACCTGTTTTGCGTTCCGTAAACTCAGCACCTACCCAGGGCGATGAAAACGACAACATGTGTGTAATCTAATTTGCCACAACACAACGTGCATGGAGCAGCAACTACATAAGCATGTGATACCGACGCTCTTCACCAGCATGCGCAGAAGAATGGAACAAGGACTACAATTGAGGGCTGCTGTACACAAAGTATGCATCCAATACCACGCGATACCAGTTGGCCCACAGAGATGTGGTGCCAGGCTGAGAGGACTGAGGAGCTGCACTTTTTTTAAAGTATGTCACTACTTTATGAAGTTTCAGGGGCTTTAGCGGGCTGTACTATTGTACCTTCTTAGTTCTGTACTTGGATATACCCACAGACATACAAAGGTGTGCACAAAACATACGTTAATTCAAACTTCCTGGGAAAAAAAATTTTTGCCTACACCGCTGATGAACGCAATAGACATAGTAAGTTATGGCCGATTGTATACAATACCTGTCTCTCACGAGTGTTCCTCGCTGGCCGTTAGCACAGTGGCACTGCCTTGGTGAGGAGACTTCTTCAAACTCTCTGTCATCCACTTCGGCTGCAACATCTTCTTCAATGTCCCTCGCCCTCCCTCCTCTTGCAGTCTCCAGGGGAACCTCGGTCGGCAATGGTAACATGTGCTTATGGTGGCGGTGCTTGGTCTTGTGCTTCTTGAGCGTCCTTCGCAGCCCTTTGAGCTGCTCCAGCTTCTGCCGCAACCGACGAATAAGTCCGTCGATATGCTCCTTCTTCTGACGCCAAAGTCGCTTCGCATTGGGGTTAGGTCGCCCCGGCTTACCATCTTTTTTATCACCAGCACCACTTCCTCTCCCAGCAACAACACACCATCGATCATCGGGATCGCATGGGCTGTCGCCATCGTGCTTGGAAGATGGCTGATCGCCCAGAGCACCTCCCCATGACTGGTCTCCACTGCCATTGGTGTGTTCTAGCGATTTCATCTGCAAGAGAAATAATAAGAACATACTGCATTTAAAGTGAATGCCGTACAGTCGGAAATAGAATGTTTTTATGTTCCGGCATAATAGGCGCACCCTGAACTCGGCCGTGATCAGTAGTTCTGTAACGTATTTGCACAGCTGCGATTCGACGCCTTCTTACATTAACTAGAGCGAGCAAAATAAAAATAAAAAAGACCGGGACAGCCCTACATAGGCTCGCCAAGTGAGAAGGAAGAGTGGTTGCCTGGGCATTAGAGTGACCTTTGCGCTGGCGTGGCTCCGGCTGCGTGTGCTCCGCATGGGACGTGCAACCGCATCCTCATCAAGTGTGCATTGAGTTTTTTGTTGGAAAAAGCGTCGTCATTATCACGTTTGCTACCTTGTCCGCAAATTTAAAAGCTTTTCAGCTTAACGACACGAGCTTTCACCTATGCTGCCACTACGCAGACTTGCACAAGCTTGGCAGACTTTTGTCACCATTCATTTCTCGGCCGCGAACCTACATGGTATCACGCGCGCTACTCTTGGATCAGTGCTCGAGTGTCATCTTTTCGACGCCCAATTTTGTTGCACAAACTTCTCGCAACAACATGTCGAACCGTCGGCTAGGGTTGATCAGTGCTGGTTGCTTTTCGATGATGATTTTCGCAGGAGGTCAGCTACGGTTTTGTACGGAGCCAATGTAACTGACGTAACTCTTTGCGGTGGCTCTACTTGAAGGAAAGGATGCAGGAGCTGAGCTTGTAACACTCGAATGGTGGTTCCTGATTCGATAGCAGTGTCTTTGGATATAGAGGATGAGCCCGTGAAGTTAATAATTGGTACCATTCAGCAGACGAAATCTCGGTAGCATTAAGGCGCAAAAATCTAGGTGGCCAAAACGTAATCAGTGAATTTTCTCAATGGCACTTTCTTTTATTAGTTTTCCTTTTCTGCGTTCATTTTGTTGGAAACACATGCCTGTCGATGCTAATTTTTTTTTTGTAATTTGAATGTCCGCAAGCACATCGCATTGCATACCTCGATTCTAGGACACGTGAGACTGCATGCTCAACATGTTTTGTGCTTGTGTAGCTTATGAATAAAATCGTTTCGGCTGTAGTGAGGATATTCATCAATTCCGCAAATTACAAAATAAGCTGTCTATGCTGCAGTCTCAAATAAAATTTTCAGGAATTTTACCCCGCGTAATAGACACACTGTGAACTTGGCACCGGATTTCCTGAAAAAAAAAAAGTGTGCCTATTATGCGAGTTAATACGGTATACAGACGCCTATAGGACTTACTACAGTGCCAAGAAAGTGTCTAGACTTTCAAGCATGTCCGAGAAATCGGCAGTTGACTGTATATCTGAGAATGCATTAGACTTGAGTAAATATGGTAACGGCCTCCTATCTTTCAGGGGTGCATAACCAAGTGCATGTGGTGCTAGGCAACTCAACCAGGCCGATACTGTTCCAGGTAAGCCCATGACCTCGTCTGCCCTGTAATCACGACGCCATCCACGTGTCAAGGCTCAACAGTTACCACACTCCTTCTGCTGTGGCCCCATAGACATTCAGGCTTTTGCTGCCACGAGGTTGCGTTGGGTGGTTTTGACCAACATTGGCAGTGCAAAGTGAGAATACCCTGAAAGGTATCTGGGAGGAAAGTGAAGAAATGGACATTCTTGTGGGAGCTTTGCTGTGACTTGCTACTGAGTTAGAGCTGTTTTGAAGTAACACTATTAACTAGTTGATGCCTTCTGACTCACCTCCTCTTCTAGTAGCTCGTCTGCTGTTGCCCTCAAAAAAGCAGATACAGCTTCGTCATCAGTCAGGTCAAAGCCTTCAGCCACTGCATCCGCACGTCGCTTCAACCGTACTGCCATGAATACGGGCCTGAAGGCTGGAATAAAAAAGGTCACAAGTATTTCCTTTTTTTATTTGCATAAGACAAACAATATATTCAATAATGAAACAAATGGCTTATTAACTCAGTGAGGGTCGATTTTTTTTTCTCACAAAATGCACCCCAAAAGTGTGTAAAGTATATTATAGGTGAATTAAATTCTTCTGACAAATCCATTTACCGTATATTGCCGATTATAAGTCAACCCCCCAACTTGCAAAAAAAAAAATGTTGACTCCATACACAGCCTCATGCTGCAGTCATAGCACACCAGTAAGACTTTCATAAGAGCGAGTGATGCAAAAAAAAGATTTATTTGACCAAAAAACATTGCTTATGACTTGTCACTTGAGAAAATGATGCAGCAGTCACGGTCATTGCCATCATGAGAGCCACTGCTGCTGCTCGCCATCGGAAGGGGTGCTCGTGGTACTGAGATGCTGCACGTGCAAAATGCTGTGCGGACCATGTCCGTTGGCAGTCTATACCAGGCATCGTTAACCCATTGCACCACTTCAAACAAAGAGCTCAGTTAGAACTCTGTTAGCGGGATGCACATATCCTTCGTGACAGTACATGCTTTTGCTTCAATATCATCGTGACAAACACTCAGGCTTTCGCTTTCCAGGTCGTGAACCCAATCTTGAACCACCTCATCAAGAACAGGGTATCGTCCATACTTCGGTCTGCGAAAAGAATGACGTGTCGCAGCACACGCGAAGATCCTGGTCCTTTGTTTCTCCACTCCCTCGCGCACTTTTTGACACATCGAACTTTCGCCACGTTTCAACATTTCTTTCCGACACTGCGTAGAGGATCCCTTGCCACGTGAAAACAGCGCTGCACTGTTGCCGGTGTAGCGGAGGCATCTTGGTGTTTGCTGAGCAGCTTCACAAATCACGCACACCACTCTTCGTGAGCGAGGTGAAATGCAGAAATGGCGAACAGGCGTGAGTGCATAGACACAGAATGCCCGCATAAGACGTGAAGTTGCTTGTGGGCGCATGCATGAGGTGCATGTGGCTGGTCATGTGGTTTACTTCTCTGCAAAGTGTAGCCAGCCCACACAGTGCTGCCAGCTTTTCAGTGGAACACCCATGGTGCTTTGAGAAAAAACTGAATTTTTGAATTTTCTAGTCAGCAAGCGCTGTTAGGAAACGCTGTCCACTAAAGTGAGAAAGGCATGTTACGTCTTTCGCGAACAATAAACATTACGTTTCTTGCGAGCAAGAGATGCATGTCGAGTTTTTCACAACAGATAAACGTATGTTGCATTTTTAGCAACGGATAAGCGCATGTCCCATTTCTTCGCGAGTGAAATGCACTGTCATACCCATATGCGGCGAGTGCCGGTTTTGTTGCTGATCTTGCTCTACAGACGCGCCGATGCGGTGGCAGTACCATTAAAACCATGATGCCATCAGCGACGCGTCATGAAAAAAATGCTGTATCTCCAACGGTACCGTTGCCGACACCTCCTCCTCTAGCCACCGTAGCTATGTCCGGCTCCGGAAGCGGCGTGCACGCAATGGGAGATAGCAGTGTCCGCGACTTCATTGCCTCTTCAGCTGATGTTATCAATGTGTCGAATAGCAGTAAATCAAAGACGATGACTGCTCGTCGAACACCTCAAAAAAGTAGACTTTACGGTTCCAAGGTGACTTCAAAATTTTGCGTATAGGTCGACTCCGATTATAGGTCGACTCCCGAACTTTGGAAGGCCATTTTATGAAGGAAACATCGACTTATAGTCGGCAATATAAGGTAAACAAATTTTACTAGAATATCTTTGGGTGACCGTAAGGTAATCAGAAAATAATTTGTGTAGTTACATACACAAGGTTTACTTGCAAGCAACAAAAAATATTCTAAAAAGGAACTTGTACGATTGATATGTGAGGTTTAACGTCCCAAAACCACCATATGATTATGAGAGACGCCGCAGTGGAGGGCTCCGGATATTTCGACCAGCTGGGGTTCTTAACGTGCACCCAAATCTGAGCACACGGGCCTACAACATTTTCGCCCCCATTGTAAATGCAGCCGCCGCAGCCTTGACTCGAGCCCGCGAACTGCAAGTCAGCCGCTGAGTACCTTAGCCACTAGACCACCACGGCAGGGCAGGAATCTATACGACTGTTAAATAATTACGTACTAAAATAAGCGACTGAAGTCGACAGACTTGCACCAACGAGTGCATGAAGAGGCGGTGAAAACGCAGCGGGAGAAAATCCACTTCTGATCCAGTCAGTATCGTCTTGCCGCGCACGGTTTTTAAATGTCACTCACTCATCAACAAATGAGTTCATTCGTGAATAACTCTTCGTATGACGGGCCGACATTTACTAAATCATATTCCAATTCGGCAGTCAAATGGCACTTCGGAGGAATCGCCACTAAACTCATTTGCAGCAGAGAAACCAGTGTGCATTTCTATTGCAAGCGCAAACTGCGCGGGTAAGCGCACCAAGAAAAACTGTGCTGTGAGAGTGTCTGGAACGCAAAAACAAGTTTGAAACCTATAAAAATTAGCGATGAGCGACGATTCAAACTTTTAAATTTTTTTCTAATAGCGTTTACTATTTGATTTGATTCGCATGACAGTTTTACTATTCGAAGTATTCGAAATTCCTGAAAACAAATAGTCAACATCCGCTTAAAAGTGGCCCCCCTTAGAGTTTTCACATGCTGTATCGTATCGCGCCTCACTCGTGCGCTACGCACGATAAGCTCAAGGTGCTTGGCCCGATCTTGATGCTATCGCGTGTTGATCAAAGGGGCGTTGCCCAGAGTGTATTATAAATGTGACGGACTGAATAAACGGGGCAGCACTAGCTGCCTGACGCACGCACCTGCTGTCACGCTGATCCCTGGTCCCATACATGGTGTCAGAAGTATCTAGGCCATACCCCCAGCCGCCCATCCGAGGAATGCCAGCATGGAATTAGTGAAGCCTCCAGAGCCACTGCGGTTGGAAGGTGATATAGACAAGCGATGGGTACTTTTCAAGCAACGCTTCGAGCTCTTTTTGACAGCGACAGAGCCTACGAAAGCACGACGTGCTTCGACGAAAACTGCGCTGCTGTTGAGCATCGCTGGAGAAGAAGCCATAGAGGTGTACAACACCTTCAGTTTCACTGAAGACCAGGACAAGAATGACTACGACGTGGTAATCAAAAAGTTCGACGCCTATTGTGCGTCTCAAGTCAATGAGGTACATCAGCGTTCTCTGTTCCGTACCCGAAAGCAAGAACCATGTGAGCCTTTTGAACATTTTTTACGAGACTTGAAGACGAAGGCAGGAGCGTGCAATTTTGGAGAGCAAGCAGATTCAACGATAAGAGACCAAATTGTTTTTGGCACAAATGAAGCTAAGACTCGAGAGAAGCTTTTGTCCGACAACAAGTTAACGTTACAAAAGGCCGAAGAAGTATGCAAGGCAGCTGAGATAACGGCAGCAAACCAAAAAATCTGGACGCGAGAGCAGAAACCAGTAGATACCGTGCACAAGACAAGTGGCAGTTCACAGGCTAAGCAGCAGAAGAGCGGTAAATGCCGAAAGTGTGGTCGGGCGCACGCACCGCGCAAATGCCCAGCGTACGGACAGACATGCCGCGCGTGTCATAAGAAAAATCACTTTGCCGTATGCTGCAAAACAAAGCCGCAAGTAGGTGAACTGCAAGGAAGCGATGATGATTTTGAAATTCTCACTATTGGTAGTAAGAGCAGTCGATCAGACTGGATAGTCACGGCAAAAGTGGGAGGAAAGCTTATTGCTTTCAAAGTCGACACTGGGTCTCAGGCTAATTTGCTCCCAGCTGCGTTGTACGCAAGCATGAACCCCAAGCCACTGTTAAAGCCCACCAGTGCTGTCTTATGCTCCTACGGTAAAAACGAGATCAAACATATGGGTATCGTGAGGCAAGAAGTGACATTGCATGACCGTACTTCCGTTCAGGACTTCTTCATTGTCCGCAAGGGAACTCAAGCGATTTTCGGTCTGCAGGCATGCGAGATGCTCAGAATAATAGCGCGACAGGTGGATACCGTTTCGCAAACCAGTTCCGAAGTAGTAGTGAAAGACTTTTGCCATCTTTTTTCTGGCACAGGTTGTCTCCAACGCCACTACCGCATGGTCCTACGCGAAGGAGCGCTCCCAGTCGTCCAGACAGCCCGTCGAGTACCGCTGGCCTTGAGGGAGCCGCTTCGAAAGGAGCTGGATCGCATGGAGCGGGAAGGCATAATTGTCAAGGTCACGGAACCTACAAAATGGGTGAGCCCTCTCGTCATAGTGCGCAAGAAGGATGGGAAACTGCGCGTGTGCATGGATCCACGTAAAATTAACGAGGCCATAAAGCGGGAACACTTCGAAATGCCAAGGAGAGAAGATATCGAGTCGGAGCTCGTAGGGGCTAAGGTGTTCACGCGACTAGATGCCGATTCAGGATTCTACCAAATTCCACTGCATGACGAAACGTCGAAAATCTGCACCGTCGCGACGCCTTTCGGTCGTTACCATTTTTTGCGATTGCCTTTTGGCATATCAGCAGCCTCTGAGGTCTTTCAGAAAGCACTTACCGACATCTTTGAGGCTTTGCCTGGAACTAAAGTCTATGTCGATGACATACTTATCTGGGGATCATCAAGACAAGAGCATGACCAACGACTGAGGCAGGTGCTGAAGGCGGCAGAAAAAGCAGGACTAACGTTTAACCCAGCTAAATGCATCGTTGGCGTCAATCAGATAAGCTTCCTAGGCCATGTAATTTCTGCGGAAGGCATCAGGCCAAATCCTTCACTCACTCAGGCAATGCTGCAGATTCCTGAGCCACGCGACAAGCAAGCAGCACAGCGAATGCTAGGGGTTGTGAACTACTTCGGCAAATTTATTCCCACATTAGCTGAGAGGACAAAGATACTGCGCAGCATAATTAAGAAAGATGCGGTGTTCGAATGGACTCCCAATCACGCACAGGAATGGCGTCAATATGCCACAGCTTGAGTAGCCAACCGTTGCTGGCGGTGTTCGATCCGGCAAGAGAAACGAAGATTTCATGTGACGCGTCACGCAGCGGTGTAGGTGCCGCGCTGTTGCAGAACTACAACGGCTCGTGGAAGCCTGTGGCATACGGGTCAAGAACGCTGTCCGAAGCAGAGACACGCTATTCCCAAATAGAAAAAGAAGTTCTCGCCATTGCATACGGTTGCGAGAAGTTCGACCATTTTGTGTACGGCCGAACGGTCATCATTGAAACGGACCACCACCCTTTGATTGCTATATCAAAGAAAGCGATCGGCGACATGCCACCCAGACTGCAACGTTTTTTCATGCGATTGCTTAGATATAACTTTGAACTGCATTTCGTTCCAGAGAAGCAGCTCATGCTCGCAGATATGCTGTCGAGAGCACCCAGCAGTGAAGGCAGGGATGACGTCAGCACGAATGACGCAGAAGTGCATGCCGTAAGTACGTTATCCTCATTTATCAGCGAGGGAACGTGGAAGCATCTGGCCGAGGAAACTGCCAAAGACAGCTATCTGAAAGTAGTGCTGCAGAAGTTGACCACGGGTGAATCAATAGAAGGCCCGCTGGAGCCTTTTCAAACCGAGCTCTCTTCCATTAAAGGAGTCTTGTTTAAGGGGCTCAAGGTCGTAATTCCGAACATCGTGAAAAGTGAGACGTTGCACAGGATCCATGAAGGGCACTTGGGAATCGCCAAATGCAAAGCTAGGGCTCGTCGCCTTGTTCTCTGGCCTGGCATGAACTCTGAAATTAAAGCATTCGCCGAGAGGTGTGTAACATGCAAAAAAATACGCGTACAGCCAGCCGAAGGAACCACTTCTGATGCGGTCCGTGCCTGACCAACCCTGGTATCACGTAGGCATAGACCTCTTTTGCTATGGCGGGAAGTCCTACCTGTGTGTCTATGACGCATTATCAAACTTCCCGGAAGTCGAATGCCTCCGAGACACCACTGCGAGGACCGTCGTTAACGCCACTAGTGCTATTTTTGCACGTTATGGCATTCCTATGGAGGTGCTATCAGACAATGGTCCTCAATTTTCGAGCAGTGAATTCGCTTCATTTGCGCACACTTACGATTTCAAGCACATTACCTCAAGTCCAGGGTTCCCGCGTTCTAATGGACTATCTGAAAAGGGGGTGCAGGTAGTGAGGAGACTTCTTATTAAGAAGGCTACCGAGGCTAAACAGGATTTTTGGTTGGCTCTTTTGGCCTACAGGACCTCTCCTTTGGAATGTGGACTGACACCTGCAGAGATCCTCCAGGGCCGCCGGCTGCGGACGCAGCTACCCGACTACCAGTGTGGCCCTTCCCACCGAGTCGTCAAGCATCGTCAGTCTCGACCGTCCACACACCCACTAGCCCCACTCCATGAAGGCGACGTTGTGCGAGTCCAGAGCGGCTCGTGGGCCACCAAAGCACGGGTTCTGAAGCCGTCAACATATCCAAGGTCGTACCACGTAATCACACAGGAAGGGCGCTGCCTCCGGCGCAACCGCAAGCACTTGCTACTGACTGGAGAATCCTTCCAGCAGGACTCTGTTCCCAACGGGAGCAACGTAGAGCCAAGCACCTCGACAGCTGCGCGGCACGTCGAAGACACAGCGCCAAGCAATGACCCAACTACTGCGGGCACACAGAGTAGTCCAACGCCAGCATTCAGAAGGTCGCTGAGAACGCAAAGACCACCACCACAACGACTAGAATATGACCAAGACTTTGAACAAATTGCTTGAACTCTCCCTTTGTTTCTATATGTTCTTCATTGGTTACGAAGTGCCACCTCAAGCTATTGTGTTTTCCGCATATGTAAATAACTGCACAGTTTCTTTGTTTTCCTAAGGAAAAAGGATGTATCGTATCGCGCCTTACTCGTGCGCTACGCACGATAAGCTCAAGAGGCTTCGCCCGATCTTGATGCTATCCCGTGTCTGTTCGCACTTCTGTAGGAGCATCGGGGTCGTAATGTGCAAGAATAGGAGGTGTCGTTAGAGCAGTGATTAGCTGAGAGAAGGCGTCAGCTTGAGGAGGGCCCCAAGAAAATGGGACGTCTTGTTTGAGAAGGTCGGTGAGTGGCCGTGCGAGTGCCGCAAAGTTTTTCACGACCCGGCGAAAGTAGGAGCAGAGGCCCACAAAACTGCGAACATCACAGACAGAGCGTGGGACCGGGAAGTTTGTTACAGCGCGTACTTTCGCCGGGTCTGGCCGTACGCCGGCAGCGTGAACAAGGTGACCCAGTACGGTAATCTGACGAAGACCGAAGTGGCACTTGGAGGAATCGAGCTGCAGGCCGGCCCATCGAAATATGGATAGAATGGTCGAAAGGCGTTCAAGGTGGGTTGCAAAGGTAGGTGAGAAAATGATTACGTCGTCCAGGTAACACAAACATGGCGACCATTTAAATCCTTGTAGGAGCGTGTCCATCATTCTCTTGAAGGTCGCTGGCGCGTTGCAGAGCCCGAATGGCATGACCTTGAATTGTAAAAGACCTTCAGGGGTAACGAAGGCGGTCTTTTCTCGGTCCATGTCATCTACAGCAATTTGCCAGTAGCCAGATCGGAGGTCGAGGGATGAAAAGAAGGTGCCGCCATGGAGGCAATCAAGGGCATTGTCAATGCGTGGTAGAGGGTACACGTCTTTTTTGGTAATTTTGTTGAGGTGGCGATAATCAACGCAGAAACGCCATGAGCCGTCTTTCTTTCTTACTAATACCACGGGAGATGCCCAAGGGCTCGTTGATGGTTCGATTACGTTTTTCGTAAGCATTTTGGCCACTTCTTTCTGAATCACTTCTCGCTCGGACGCTGACACGCGGTACGGCCGACGGTGAATGGGCGCAGAGTCACCAGTGTTGATTCGGTGAGTGACAATTTTAGTCTGGCCCAAGGGACAATCGTCGGTGTCAAAAATGTCACTGTATGAGGCCAAAACTTGGCAGAGAGCGTCGGCCTGGTGAGGCGACAGCTCTGATCCAATCATGTTTCGAAAAATACCATCGTCTGAGCTGGGTGACCGTGAGACTGCGCTTCGATCAAGAGCAGATACAGCGACAACACTGACATCGTCCTCTGTTATGGCAGTTAGCTTGGCTAGAGACATCTGGCAGGGCAACACTTGAGGGGTGAAACCAAAGTTAAGGAGCGGAAGTAACACACAGTTATCCGCTATGGTCGCGATGGTATAGGGCACAGTAACACTGCGCGTCAGCCGAACGTCAGTAATTGGCGCAACGATATACATAATCACCGTCAGGAATGGAAGGGGTCGATGACAAAGACACGTACGTGACGGCTCGAGGTGGCAGGCGAACGAAAGTGGTTGGGCTTAAGCGGCTGGTGGGCTTTGCAGAGTAGTCGGCAAAGATTGGTAGATCAAGGCTGAGGGTACCAGACGAACAATAAATTAAGGCCAAGTGTGCCGAAAGAAAATCAAGGCTAAGTATGAGGTCATGAGGACAGCAGGCTAGCACGGCAAAAAGGACCACGGCGTGACGACCGGCGATGCTGACACGAGCAGTGCACATTCCGATTACTGGTACAGTATCGCCATCGGCAACACGTATTGCCTGCGCCGTAGATGGCGTCATAATCTTTTGTAAGCGGCAGCGTAGAGAAGCGCTCATAATAGACAGGTGCGCACCTGAGTCAATGAGGGCGGTTACAGGAACATGGACTTCTACTTCAAGCAAACTATGGTGCGTGGGAAGCGTCGAGAGGATTTTCGGCCGTCATTGGTATTGCAGCTTCACCTCTATAAGCTGCAATATCTAGTTTTCCTGCTGCAGTCGTCCAGAGAAGCTCGGCGAGGAAAAGCGCCGAGGTGGCGGAGAGCGGGATTGGCGACGTAGCGGCGACGGGGAGCGAGAGCTGCGGCGACCGGACGAAGGGGCGTCAGGGTAGCTGTGACCGGGCAAAGGGGCGTCAGTGGAAGGCTCGTAAGATGACGACGAATAGAAATTGAAGCGTGCGGCGACTGAACGTCGAGGGGTCGTCGGATGCATGAGCGCTGAGCTAGAGAAAGTCTGACGTGGTTGGTTTGACCAACGGCGGCGGCAATAGTGAGAAACGTGCCCAGGCTGGTGGCAGGAAAAACAAATACAGGCCTGTCGTCGGGTGTTCGCCATTCCGAAGGGTTACGGAAGGACATTGTTGGAGGTGAACGACGGCGAGCGTGTCCTCGGGAGTAGGACGGGACTTCAGGGCGAGTCAAGGGACATGCTGATGGAAGGCCGAGGTTCGCAAACTCCTGCCCCACCACAGCTTGTATTAACGCCACTGACGGCTGTTGTTGGTCAGAGGCGAGCGTTGCGAAAACGGGTGGCTGAAGAGGAGCCGGACAGGCGGCTTCGATTTCCCGACAAACAATGCGTGTGACGTTGTCATACGTGAGGGACTGGCGGGCAGCTTCACACGATGAGGTTGCGGCCGTGTTGGGCAGCCGGGTGAATCGCTGAGTAATTCGGCGGCTCTTGGCTTCTTCGAACCGCCGGCACTCTTTAATGATGGCGTCGACGGTGGCAACGTTGTTGTATACTAAAAGATTAAATGCGTCGTCTGCTATGCCTTTCAGCACATGGGCCACTTTCTCAGACTCACTCATGTGCTCGTCAATCTGGCGGCATAGGGCGATGACGTCGTGAATGTACGCGACGTACGACTCCGTCGACGTCTGCGCACGAGCCGCCAGTTGATTCCGCGCTGCGATCTGCCGCCCAACGGTGTCGCCAAAAAGGTCGCGGATCTTCTCTTTAAAGGAGTCCCAGCTCGTAATCTCCGCTTTGTGCGTCTCGAACCACACTCGCGGTGGGCCATCGAGGTAAAAAAGCACATTCGCAAGCATAAGTGTCGGGTCCCACCTATAGCTTGCGCTGACCCGTTCGTACCAGTTGATCCATTTGTCGACGTCAGCGCCATCCTTACCAGAAAATACACCGGGATCACGAGCAGGAGGTAGAACGACGTATGTAGAAGTCACGGTAGGGGCAGATGGCAAAGACGATGGTTGTTCAACCTGTGACATGGTTGGACCTATGATGACGCGGCCGTTGCGGAGCTTCGTGATGAAGACGGGGGAAGTACCCAGCACGTCCACCACAAAGATGTTACGTAAAAATGACACGAGGCGTGTCTATTTAAAATCTATATTCAAACTGATGCGTATGGCGTGTACTAAGATGGAAGACAGCACGCACAACCGACAGACCACTTCCTCGTTGTCGTCTTCTGACCACTGATATGTCAGCTACGTAGCAATATCTTCGTATTTGTGTGCGAAGACTCCTGGTAACTGGACAGAGCGCAATGAAGTGTTTTGTTCCCGGCTGCAAGTCTCGTTATGACAAAGGGCGGGAGAAGATTCAGCTCTTCGCGGCCCCATGTGATCCGCTGCCACTGCATCAGTGGCCTTAAAAAGTACCCGTGAGTATGCGACCCCTGAAATCAAAGGACAAAATATGTGCTCTACACTTCGACAAGCACCTCATGCTTGATGGGTACTTCAGCGAACACAAAGAAAACGTTCTACTAGACATAAAGAAAGTGCCTCGACTTCGAAAAGGAGCAATTCGTTCCATCTTTGAGGTAAGCGTGGCTCCACTTCGTTGGCACCTTGGACTCCTTCGTTGGCACCCTGGCAAGGATCTAAGACAACAGCATGAGTGCGCCTTCCAACGAACAATGTGCGGCAAAAAGCGGTGCAAGCATCTCTACTGCCATAAGCGACAACAGAGACCCTCTGTGCCTTGATCGAAGCTCACTTTTGGCAATGTTACCTCATGTATTAAGTTTATATATATATAAGATGTTTATGTACGTTGTGACATTGTATAATTCTGTGTGGTCCACGCCAAAGATGTCAGGCATTTGGCTTGTTTCGAATAAAAGAAGTAAAACGATACATTTGGGTTATTTCTTCTCATAACATCGATCTGCGAACTGCAATAGTCACGCTCTTTACATAAAAAATTGGTAGCAGAGGTAATGCATGCGTGGAGCAGGCGACAAAACAAATAGGCGAGCAGCCCCGTGAACACGGCCAAACACGCGTCCGTGCCGTTGGCAACAACCGACCTAGCCCCCGCCCGCGGCTTCGCTCGAGGCATGCTCACCTCAGCCGCTTTTTCCATTCGTAGCGCCACTTGGCAGGCGAACTGCGAAGCATGAAGCGGCGCTGCAAGATGTGTCCCATCTAGACAAGCGGAGCAGGCGCTCCTCTTTTATCTTACTCCGTGCTATAAACACACACAGGTCGTAATGCAGGCACAATGAAGACAGACAAAAGTAGGAGCGCAATAATCTTGTACTGCTGCTTGCTCCACTACATCTAAGTTAAACTGCATAATCTCAGACACAAGGTATGCAGGCAGGCAGCACAGATGAAGTCACCGGCTGCCCTGGCTAGCATTTGGTCACTGCATCCACCACAGCTGACCAACATACAGTGCCTAGGCTGCAAAAGCACCCAGCCATGTGAAAAGCCATGGATGACGTGGGCCGGGATGAGCTGAATATGTGTGTATTGGGCACGGCAGAAGACACCAGGCATCAAGCCATTATTCTTCTCGACCCACGCAAAGCATACAATACGCATGCTGCTCATTCTTAGCGCGTTTTGAAATTCTTATGAAGCACCGAGATCGTCTGCTTAAATTTGCCTGAAGTGTCTACATGTGTATTTGTATTGACATAAAAGTAGGAAAGTCGAAAGGAAGAGCAGTGCGAAAAACTGTGAGATGCGAAGGGACACAGACCACAATGCTTCAGCATTGTAGTGCCGTGGTCTGGTCTTTTTGATGTCCTTTCTTGTCCCGTCTTGTTTAGTGCTGTTTTTCCATTCCTAATCAGGAGCCAGCCTGCCTAAACGTGTACCCTGCTGCAGTTGGAAGTCAATCTAGTTGATAAAAATTCGTTATGAACAAATTTTCTTGGCAGCAGGTTCTTGGGGCATCATTACCCATGATAATGTGGCCACCAACAAATACAGTATAGAACACAGTTTACAGACAGCTTACACTGCTTCACGTGCTCTCGAAGAAACCTTCCGCTGCTGCTTGCGTTCCTCCAGTGTGAGTTGAGAGTTGGAAGATGGCTCCAGGCGATGGGCAGCAAGCATAGCCTCACTCGCAGATGACGTCACAGAAGGCAACTCTTCCATTGTGTGGGAATGCTGGCCATGGTGGTGATGCCGGCGATGTTCCTTGGGCTTCTTCAGCTTGACCACGCTTGGCACTGGAATGTCGCCAGTGCCCGGTTCAGGCAGGTGGTCCTCATTGTCCGCCTTGCAGACGCAGCTTTTACGGTGGTGGAGTCGGGGATGCTTACAACGACGCATGTGCCAATGCCAGCCATCACGAATGCACTCCCATCTCTGAAACATAGCACGAAAAGTTGGCACATGCAGTGTTTAAGAGGGACAGGGAAGCAAACATTGAAAACTTGGAGGATTCGACCCGCCAAAACTGCACAGCAGGTCACAAAGGTATACCATAAGGCAGGGGTCTAAAACCCGCAGCCCGCGACCACCACATGACTGTCTTCGCCGGACATTTTTTCAAAATTTCTCAAGTATCAACGCATGTAGCATGGGGCAAAACTGGGGAGGATGACAGAGACAAAGTGTGAAGAGTGCTGCCGGAGTCTCTGTCATCCTTTGGAGTTTTGTGCTCTTACATGTATTGAATGAACCAACTAGCCCAGTAAGCAACCATCCTTATTTTTTAGAACTCGAGCAGAACACGTCAAGAAACGTTCCCTTTCACATTTCACACTGCCAGTAACATTAAAGGCCGTTTCTAATCACCATGAATGCCTTAGAGCTCCATACCAGATGACTCGCCTCAAGGTGGCAGTAATGCAGTGCTCCTAGCACTGCTTTGGAATCGTTTACGAGATTTAAATCTCCTATTTGAAAATGGAAATTCTTTTGTGCCTGAGGAAGTATAAATAAGGAGTGCCTATATATTTATAGCACGCAATAGCATGGCCTAGCAGGAACTATATGAATATTACATGCGACTTGTCAAGTCAAACCAATCAAAACGACCAGCCAATGTCGACACTCCTAGGTGATTAAACGTCGGAGTGAAAACACTTCAGATCTTAAAAGTAGCCGCTGTGTGCCACTTTTATCACAAACTAATATGGTTTATCTGCTAAAAATATATCATAACAGTGTTTTTTTTACGTTGCCACTTGCACAATGACATTAGTGCTTCCATGGTTCCAGAAGAGGCGATGAAGAAGACGTGCTTAATTCGTGTCAGAGGGTCCCTTATTGGATGATGCCATTCAAAATACAGTGACTCTCAGGTGAGTGACATGGTTAAATAAACTAATACCTGATGCGGCTGACATGGTGAAGGATGTCTTCCAGACGTGCACTTGACATGCAGGTTGCGTTCCTTAGTCGAGTTGTAGGCTCCATCAAACATATGGTCCTTTGAGACTTTGCTAAACATAAACGCAGAGGAATGGGTAATGTAGCCAGCAATCAAAGCGATTTGCGCAGTCTAAAGTCTCACAAAAAGCGAATAATACAGTCGCCGACCGACAAATCGGACACCGATAACTCTGACATGCTTCCGTAATTCGGACAGCCACATGGCACCGCCAATAGCTCCACAGAACTAATGTGTAAAGACGACCGATATTTCGGACAGCTCCCTGATCTGCATTAATTATTCCGGACTATGTCAGAAACTGGAGCGCAAACTGAATCAGCAGCCATTATCTCCTCTGGTGCCCATACAACACAAAGTATGGCCCCAGAGAAGAAAAACAAAAGCAAGCTGGTGATTTGTGAGGCTTTTCGATCTTGGAGGCACTGCTCATCTGTAAGAGATTTTATCGACATCGCGAACATCCCATGTTCCGGTTCCGGTATCCCTGCACTGTTGCGGGGCACTGTATTGCTATCGGCGCCATTCTGTCATATGCGCCTGCGGTACTTGATACCGCTGAATTCTGAGCGCAGTCGATTTTGTGTTGGGCCCTGCTTTATTTTGCGCTTTGCTGTCCCAAAAGATGTGCGCTAAATGGCACCATTGGTGCCATTTTGCACCAAAACCGTGCCAAAACCTCACAGCCAGCGCCGAAAAGCCGTCCCGGTGACGGCAAAATGTGGCAGACATACACAATGCTAACCATGGCAAGAAAGCTGCCATTATTCTGCAAGCTGCTCAGTGGTCGCCCGCAGGTCAAAGTTGCCCGAGAGGTCGAGAGTTCAAGAACCCAACATTGCAACTGAAGAGTCGGACCTGCCACCCAGCGCAACGAGCTCGAATGTGGACATTATTGACTGACCCTGCAAGGCTGCAGTGTGCTGATTCCTGACGCAGTTACGTTTGAAGACTTCCCAAATGTTGACAGTGTCGTGTCGTCATGTGCCAAATCGAACGATGACGACATAACTGAGCAGGTTCTGCAAGCTGCCAAGTGATTCTGATTCTGATGATGAGAACACACCACGTACTCTGGAGCCATCGTCCTACCTGTAATCCTACAGTGAGCATACCCCACTGGCAGAAATACAGACGAAATACAGACAGACTTGGTTGCATGTAAGCAGAAGTGCGTGCAGCAACACATTATGACAGTTTTTTCCGGCCTCCAGGTCACTGAAGCGTTGAAAAAAGTGCTTCTTTCTGACACTTTCATTTTTTCGGACATTCAATATAATTACAACCTAATTACGTTGCCCATGGAGTCCGAATTATCGGTCGTCGACTGTACTGCAATGAATTGGAAAATTCGGTGCAGCACTATTAAAACTTCGACACCAGGTCGAGTGACAACCATGAATTGAGAGGCAGTATCATTTAACAACAATTGTTATGCAGGCAAAACCTTTCTAATTTGCTTCCAAGGTGTATGGAACCGCAATCTAATTGTAGCTCACAACTTGACTAATATTCAGCCACCATTTCTCAATGACTCAATGTTATTTACACGTAACAGCTGATTGACTTAATCATTAAGCCTGAGACCCTGGCCAGTGTAAATGTGAGAAAGTCCCTCCTGTCCTATGGGGCGGTAAATCGCAAATTGCCATGAAGTATCTTGGCACTAAGAAGTTTGTATGAGTGGCTTATTCGTAACCAGATTAGAGATAACGGGCACTGGTTATATTGATCACTTCATTAGAAGCAGCCTTAAGTTACCAAGCAAACCTGAATGGCTTTCGGACAAGGATGGCTAAGCTCGCTATTGGCAGAAAATACCAGCCGAGTTTACGCAATAGAGAGTTTTCGAATAGCCCTTTGCATATGGACGCTTTGGGTCAAGCAGAAGAGAAGAGGTTTCAAATAGGGTCTGCGGCGCTTTGGATACTCGCCCTATGTCACTCTAGTCTTGGCCGAGAGCCATCACTTCAGTGGGTGCCGTCACATTTGTCCGACCGAAAACTTTTGGGGCAGGCTTTGGGGTCCCACTAAATACAAGAAACAGTGTCCACAAACCAAAACCCAAACGCAGTTTGGGTTTTGCACATGCGCAGTTGCTTTGGCGCTATTTCTTCGGGGCCCCTATACGAAAAGTCCCTAATAAGTCTGGCCTCCTTGCATTCCTCCAACAAGCTTGCACGCGAGATCTGTACATCACGACATGCAATACACATAGGACTGGGAAATCGGCAAATGCAAGACTTGTATACAACTACAATGGCCAACCTAAATTTCAAGTAGACATTGCATAGTACAAGGGCATGAAAAGTGAACTTTAGTGAGCAGAAGTCTGCAAAGTAATTTTTATGGCCACTGGCACAATAAAGAAAGAGTAAATTTATAATTTTTATTAACTTCTTGGTTAAATATGCCAAATTGTTTTTATATTTTTTTTCACAACACTGTCAGTGGCTAGATCTGTAAAACAGCGTATATAGAAAGAAAATGTATGCACGCACATACAAGAAAAATGACCAAGTATAAATAACCTTAGAGCATTTATGATTACAATCAAACATTCAGTGCACATTACTCACCCTCTCTCGATAAGAAAGCTGTCTCGCCAGGCCTTCCTTCGTTTTATCTCAGCTCGCCTGTGGCCATTCCTTTTACCATAAACAACAAGCAAAGAAGATGAAATTAGATCCTTGCGATAAGCAGAAGACATGAGCCCTAAATGCAGCAACGGTATGAACAAGTGCCCGAAAAAACTGCTTTTAAACAACCTTTCTTTGCGACAACTTGTGTCTGTACAGTGCAGTCCACTTATAACGATACCACATATAACGATATATCGGTTATAACGATGGGTCGACTTAACAGTCTCATTTTATGCATTGGGGCTATGGGGAAAAAAACCATATATAACGATATGTTATCCACCGCATATCGGATACAACGATGAAAAGTTTGCCGTGGACGGCATGTTTCATTCAGAATAATCGTAACATTTAGATTGATAAGTTCCTCTGAAACGAACTATGCCGAGACAAGACGAAAAGTTAGCGTAGGCGAGTACGTATCTGCCGCCACTGCAGCACAGCGCCGGCAGCGCGTCCCGGCCGTTCAAAAAGCCGAGGAGAGCATCGCGAGTTGGCGCGACGCGCTACAGATGGCGCCAGCTGTGTCGCGTTTTGCGCCTCGCCGCGCGTCGACCGCGGAGAGGCTGAGAGAATTTTAAAAAAAAATGCGAAAAGCAAAGCGCCGCGCTCCGCGGCTCCCCGCCTTCTACAACGGCAAGCCGGCAAGCTACTCGTAGCTTGCCGAACGAAAGCGGGAAAGAGAGAGAAAATAAAAAAAGCGAAAAGCAAAGCGGCGCGGCGGCATCGGGGCGGGGCCTCGTTGGCATTCCGGCTGTGTACCTCTGGCTGTGCTTTCTTCCTCCCGCTGCTCCCACCCCGCCGTCGGTCAGTCTCTCTTCCTCAGCGAACCCGTGATGCGTTCTTCGGAGTAAGAAATAAAGTCTTGTTCTTGACATCCTACTATCTACAATATTTATTAATTGGTGAAAATAGCGAAATGAAGCCTGGAGCTACAAAAGGTACGTCCGGCGACGATTTTTTGGCGGCAGTCCAGATATAACGATCACCGGTTATAACGATCATATTTTTAGGTTTTCTCGATATCGTTATAAGTGGACTGCACTGTACTAGTACTACAAGAAAATGCCACATTTACACAGCCGTCAGGAACAGTAGACTGTCAAAAATTTGAGCAGTGATGCTAACAGATGGTCCCTACATTACAGTTATAAACAGCAAGCTACAATAGAAATGAGTTCACACCTCAAAAAGTTTGTGCAATGAAGGTTCCCCTCCAGTATGAAAGCTTCCCAATCTTTCAAAACATTCATTACGAACAATGTGGCGTCTTTACATTAGGAGATGCTTCATCACAAGTCAGTTTCAGATGCAATATCGCTGACCATAACTATCGCCATGCATCACTAACTCTAAAATAAAATCTGGTGTGCCTTGCATAGCCAGCCATATGCATACACTCAAACCTCGATATAACGAAATACCGGTTATAACAAACTAAATAGAAAGTAGTCTTGCAATAGATACAGCGTTCAGGAATAAACACTTGTAACCAATTTTCGGATATAACGAACATGCTTTCATGAAAGATGCAACTTTGTTATGATGAGGCCTAAGTGTAAGTCTATTTTGGGCCCTTAACGTAATGGCTGGCTGTTTTGAATAAGCCATGACCACTATGACCTCTTCTTCGGGTCATCAATGGTTAAACTGCTACTGCAATCTGCTCAAAGCACTGCCCATGCAACATTAAGGGACACTAAAAGAACAACGATTTTTCTCACATTAGTAAATTACTTTTAAAGATACCAAAAGCACTACCGTTTGCAGTGAGAAGCAAGACAACGTGCAAAAAGAAAATGCAGCTGGCAACACCTCCTTGAAGTTACTCTGACAGTCACAGTTATGTCGCGTATTTCTATAGAGCCCACAGTACTTGTGAAACAGCCAGAGACTCAACACACCAAGTTTCAAAAAATTTCGAGGAGCCATTGTGGCCAGATTACTGAAATGAAAGATAGAGGAAGTTTCGAAAAATTCCATAGTCCAATGTGGCCAGATTACTCAAATGAAAGAAGACGAACATTAAGGACCCCTTTCCATTTTAGTTTGACACAATAATAAGCAGTAACAGGCAATAAAATAAAGCAAAAGATAGCATAGTGCAAGTTATTTAGAGTAATTTTGATGCAAGTGTAAAAAAAGCAACGTGGACGAAAAGACAACTTGCCGCTGGACGGGAAAATTTGTCTTTTCGTCCACGTTACTTCTTAACAATACCATTGTATGAAGGAAAGAAGGAAAACGAGTGAGAGAATAAGCAGAGATGTTAACCAGTTTGGCATAACCGGTACGCTACCCTGCGCAGGGAAAAGAAATGGGAAAGATTGAAAGTGTAAAGTGAGATAGAAAGAGAGGGGGACAAAGCAAGCATGCACGTCACAGCGGAAAGCAGCTGTCTTCGGTGGTACTATATGGCATCACAGTCAGCAGCCACTTGAGCAAGTTTGTTGCACAATGCCCGATACTTGCCCTGGCTTTACTGTCCGATGGTTCTCAGAATACTAAAAAAAACGCTTTTATATCAGCGAAGTCACCATCGACGCTTCTGGTGAGAAATTTAGAAATGAAACTTTTTACAGTGATTTTCTCATCTATTAACAAAAATATGGCAATGACATTGTTGACACTAGAGCTTTCAGAGTATTGGAATTAAATTAATGACACTAAAATTTTCAGAGTATAATTTATCAATCTAAACTAATTGTTGCACTTTCATCATCATCATCAGTCTGGCTACGCCCACTGCAGGGCAAAGGCCTCTCCCATGATTCACCATCAACCGGTCTAAAGTGTCTTCTTTAATAATTCCAGATAGCATAGCATTTGCAGCATGACTAATACATAACACAGGGATGTGAGTATTTAATAGAAGTTAAAATTGCAAGCACGTGAAAATGACAGACCACAACTGAAATGCATGCTTTCGAAATGCTTTCCCATTGAAATGATTCAATCACTTTTGGTAAGCCTTCTCTGCTGAGAATCATGACTGAACATGCTGTTCCTTCACTAGAATAAAAATAAAGAAATAATCATATATGCATTAAACACTCAACAGACAACAAACCTCATGGAATCGTAGGCATCTTCCAAGATGGGAAATATAGACTTGCCATCCATATGCTCCGGAACATCAATGCCAGCAATATCTAGAAAGGTTGGTGCTAAATCAATATTCAGTACAATATCTTTTAACCTGAAAGTGCAAGCCGAGAAAACAATTACTTTGCAGGGTTTGCAAGCAGTACGACACAAGGTACAACAAAGCTTTCATAATTAAACACAATGCTAAAAAATTACACTGCTAGGGAAAACCAGCCAGATTACCACATTCTACTACAGTAAAATTCCGACCAAAAGATCCCACCCATGCAAGTGCCTCCTAATTTTCTTGCCGATTTCAGATTTCTACAATGTTACGGAGAATCGCAAGGACCCAACCTCCATTACTGCTTTTTGTCATTACGGGTTTTGCACGTCAAAAGGTTAGTGGTGAATGACACCACACGGTAGAACTTTTGAATAATTTGACAATCTAAACTTGTTCAAACTAAACTAAACTGAATCATGCGAATATATTTGCACCGAGCCTTTAGATGGACGGCAACTGTTGCTCCCAGATCATGACCCTATGCGTTTATAGTAGCAGAATACCATTGCCACACCATTCCCCAAAGGGTTACTCGACAAACAAATGCACTTTGATATATGCCAAAATTCCTTACTCTTAATCACATGGGCCTGCTAACAGACTGTATTTCCCCCACCTCACTCAACACCAATGATCGCGTACTCCTTTATAAAGATGTCTAATATGCAAGCTCATTTCGCTTGCTAAGAAAGAGTGAAAAAGTCAACGTACCTCGTTCCTGGAGGAACCTTCGGCCCCCTCACATAGAAAGGCACCCGAATGTCAAATTCAAAAGGCATCGATTTTCCTTTTACAAGCCCAAACTGGCCAAGGTGATAGCCATGGTCAGATGTGTAGAAAATGTAAGTGTTGTTCAGTTCACCTAAACTCAGCAGTTCATTGTACAGCTGCAAATATAAGACAGAGGGAAAACACAGCTGTGGTAAAACGAGAATAAATGACATCAATGACATTTAATTAGGAGTGAGTGAATCATCTAGCTTTTGAATAGTTGTCTAATAGTGTTTGCTATTCGATTCAATTCTACCCCACAATTTTACTATTCGAACTTCCCAAAGACAAGTACAGTCAATGTACGAATGGCAGTGACACCTTCCGATTTTCAATGTGTTTCACCTCATCTCACCCATATTGCGGCAAAGCTGCCTTTGAGACTCTGCAACAATCGCAAATGAATCGACTCCGAAAAAAAAAAAATGCTGGTTTCAACATAAAGATGAAAGATGTGGCATTGATGAAGGCTCAATTGATGCTGTTTTGGACTGAAATTTACGCAGGAAGTCTGAAATATTTGTGCTGTCAACATCCCCAATGAAAACAATGAATTATAAGGTACTCCTGATTTCACATTGCACATCTTAATTTTTATATCGTACATGCGGGGTGACAAGGATTCATGCGCCATTGCATTCAGGGCCGTACTTCCTTGGTGATCTAGGATGCCTAATAAGATAGTAACCACGATCTTTCCTTGAAGATAATAAAGCTGTGCAAATGCTTACGATAGAGATATAATAGATAATGTTCGCCTACGCTTAAAAAATGCTTTAAAAAATATTGATCCAAAAATCTTGCATCTTATTGTTTTGTTACAGCAATAAGTAGTTAATAGCCCTTTTATCGTGGCTGAAAACTCCACTTGCTGACGATGACTCTCAAAGTTGTTTCGGTGGCTTTCAGACAGTCAGTGTTGAGGACGTGCAATTAGAGAGGTAGGCTGGTAGGCCACCGCACACACAAGAAATTGCATTAGGTCTGAGGTGCGGCTTGTCTCGAGGCAAAGACATGGCATCACGGTTTATCCTGAAATCGTGCACATGGATGATGTCCGATAAATCAAAGTGCTTCACAACACACACGCACATACTTCGAATCAATGCGGCTGTCATCTGTTTCTTGCCGCGTTATGATTCACTTCGAGTTCTCAAACTTTCTACGAACACTTGGCATAAAAAAAAACATGTTTTCAGTAGTAGCCTTGCATGACACCTTAGTAAACAACACCTGAATGGCATCATTAGGCAACTGTACAGCTTAAGCTGAACTCGGCCCTTATCCGAAAAAAAAAATCAGATACAGAGTACACATGCAGACTCCCAGCAAGCACTGGGCACATGTGCTGCCTTTACAGAATTAGCCCCACACGCCTGATAACTATGGTCTCTTAACGACATTAGCGCCACGGCACAGCAGCTGTCCATGCCTTTTTAAGCTCCCTCACAACGTGACTGGTGAAGTTTTGTGACCAGAAAGGGTATTGAAAGACCATTATAATATCAATTAGAATCAGAAATAAAACTAACCTTCAAGTCATAAGCTAGTTGCAAGTAAATGAACAATCATAGGTTTTATTGACCACATTACAACTATGTGAAAAGATAGAGTAGTGGCAGGAGATAGAGTAAGATCATGACGTTCCAGTCATACAGTCAGTAGGAACACCAATCCCAGAAGCAGGTCGTGCTTGTACAGTCACTGACCGATAAATCTGACACCAATAATTTGGACATGCTCGGTAATTCGGACAGCCGCGCAGCACCCCCGAGGGCCCCATAGAACTAATGTGTTGCAATGGCTGATATTTCGGACAGCTACTAGGTCTGAATTAGATAATCCGGACAATTTCCGAAACATGCGCGCACACTGAATCGGCAGCCATTATACTTTCCGGTACATATGCCATACAATGTATGGCCTCAAAGATGAAAAACGAAAGAAAATTGGTTATTTGCGAATACAAAATGCCGATCTTGGAGGTACTGCTCATCTGTGGGAGGTCCTATCGACATCGCAAACATCCTCTATTCCAGTTTCTGTATCCCCTTGCTGTTATGGCACTGTACTGCGGTCACCAACATTCTGTCACATCTGTGTGCTGAATTCTGAGCGTGTTCGGTTTGGTGTCGAGACCCCGCTTTATTCTGTGCTCTGCTGTCCCAAAAGATCTGCGTCATATGGCACCAATGGTACCCTCACAGTCAACGCCAAAGGCAGCGCCGACGATGACAAAACGCGGCAGATACACAACGCTGACCATGGCAAGGAAAGCTGCCATTATTCAGCAAGTGCTCAGTGATTGCCCGGTAGTCGAAGTTGCCCAAGAGTTCAGCATTTCGAAGCAAACCATATCAGATTATATGAAAAATAAGACAAAATTTTAGTCACAGCAGAGTCAACAAAAAGGGTGCGCTAAGGTTTTCATCCACAGTTAAAAGAAGCGTTGAACATCTGGCTTAACACTACCGTTGCTCAACGAATTCCAGTTTCCGGCCACCTATTGAAGCAAAAGGCCGAGACCTTGGCACTGCGCTGAGCATTGATGGATTTAAGTTCAGCAATCGATGGCTCCGAAACTTAAAAAGCTATGCAACCTCGCTTTCATGAAAATGTGCGGTGAGAGCGGTGCCGTGGAGAGCACACTGGCAGCGAACTACCGCTACGGAAAGCTGGGGGAGCTGCTTCAGCGCTACTCAGCGGACGACACCTTCAACCTCAATGAAACTGGCCTTTTTTATAAGCTACTACCGGAGAAGACACTCTCCAGCTCCGGAGAACCTTGCCACGGCGGTAAACTCAGCAAAGAACGAGTCACTATCATTGTCGCAGCAATGCAACCGGCACAGAAAAGCTTTCGCTGTTGGTCATTGAAAAATCGAAAAACCCTCGTGGTTTTAAAGGAAAAAAGAACTTGCCTGTCTTGTAAATAGCCAATACAAAGGCATGGGTCATGCAAAAGTTCTTCGAAGATTGATTGATTGATATGTGGGGTTTAACGTCCCAAAACCACTATATGATTATGAGAGACGCCGTAGTGGAGGGCTCCGGAAATTTAGACCACCTGGGGTTCTTTAACGTGCACCCAAATCTGAGCACACGGGCCTACAACATTTCCACCATCGGAAATGCAGCCGCCGCAGCCGGGATTCGAACCCGCGCCCTGCGGGTCAGCAGCCGAGTACCTTAGCCACTAGACCACCGCGGCGGGGCAAAAGTTCTTCGAAGAGTACGTCCAAAGATTGGACCGAAAGTTTGAATTGCAGAAGCGCAAGGTTCTTTTGTTTGTAGACAACTGTACTGCCCATGCGCCGACCAGCAACCTGAAAGTCATCGAGCTGGAATACCTCTTGCCGAACACTACCAGTATTTTACAGCCGATAGATCAAGGTGTCAAAGAATTTGAAGGTGCTCTATAGTTCACGTATGCTACAGCGCGTGTTGCTGCGCCTAGAGAGCCAGATGAAATACAACGTCGACTTGATGCCAGTCGTCAGCATGCTTGCCAATGCCTGGAAGGCAGTGCCGGCAGGCCCGATTAGCAACTGTTTCCGGCACGCTGGATTCTCGTTTTGCAGTGAACCCAACACTGTAACTGAAGACCAGGACCTGCCGCCCAGTGCAACAAGCTCAAGTGCGGACATTATTAACGACATGCAAAAGAGTGGTGTGCCGATTCCTGATGCAGTTACGTTTGAAGACTTCGCGAACGTTGGCAGCGCTGTGTCGTGTGCCGAATCAAATGACGACAACATAACTGAGCAGGTTCTGCAACCGCCCAACAGTGACTCTGACGATGACGACACACCATGTGCTCTGGAGCCAGCGCATGCAGACCTGTATTGAGCCCTCAAAATTCTTTCGTCGTCCTATAGCGAGCATATCATGCGGGAAATACCATGCCGACAGACTTCATCGCACGTAAGCGGAAGTGCTTGCAGCAACGCATTGACAGCTTTTTCGCGCCTCCGGCTCACTGAAGCATCAATTAAAGTTTTTTTTTTTTTTTTGACGCATTCGTTTTTTCAGACATCCGATAATTCACACTTATTTACATTCCCTGTGGAGTTCGAATGATCGGTCGTCGACTGTAATTGCAGGCCAGAAATCATTAGTAGCTGCCATAATGTCCAGTCCAGCTTCACCTTTTTGCAGGTCTCTGTTTTTATCAAGTTTACACTAGAACGCACTGAGTACATGTTTAAGTGTGAACATTAGAAACTGGCTCATTGAATGAGCATAGAGGATGGGCAGCGGTAAACAGCATGCTAACCCCACGTTTGCCAACATGCGTGTGCCGACATGCACACTACTTTGCCAGTTTGCTGTTCGCAAACAGGTACACATAAATTCCAACTCCAGTTTTCAAGTTATATTGTATTGCTTCCCCTTTTTAATTACAATTTAAGTTTATAAGACCACCAAATTCTTGTTTAATCCTTTACAGTGGCTGTGAGTGACATTGAATAGGCAAAGGAAAACATAGGTCGTTCCATATTGGCAGGCGCACCAGGCGTTGTGTTGAAGTGCCTCGACAAGCACCACTGCTGGCACGGGGAGGACATGTGCACGCATCGGCTGGCACGTTATAGAAGCTTAGAAAACAAAGGGTACTATTTTATCTACAAATATTAAATGGCTACTAAATGTGCCAAAACAGAAGTTCAATGTAGCAATAAAGTAGCCATAACGCCTATCTGAAACTTTCAACTCCGGCAGGGATAGTGAAGTAAGCTAATTTGGTACGAAGTAGCCACCTAACAGCAACCCTGATAGTGTGTCTCGTCAGTTTTGGTCTTGACCACAGAGCAGAACAAATCAGCTATGCTGTCACTGCCCTCATCCTCTTCCAGTGAGGATATGTATACCATGGCCTTAGTGCAGAAGCACTAAAAGTGGGGCATTAATTTCTGCTACAATACAGCTCTAGCAAACAACATCTCCTCATAGAACCAGTACCTTTTCCACAGCATCATCAACAGTCTGCAACGTCTGGAGTCGCTTTGTGTGAAGCATGTCAGTAAATTTAATATGAATAGGCTCCATCTGGCCGGTGTACCGCAATAGCCACTGTTTGTCCATGTTTGGAGCGTAATTCCAGCTTGGTGTCCTTCAGAGAAAAAAGAAAGAAGATAAATCTGTGAGACAAGCAGTGCTAAAAAATATGGGCCATAAGCACTTTTTTCCTTTAAATATGCAAAAGTGCAACATAACCACATTAAAGAGGTCGTGAAAAGAAATTCGAGATGCTCTGTTGTAATTTTTCCTGCTTCAATAAAGATTATACATGCTGATCATATTGAATCGACGGTCAGGACTCTGAATAAACACGTAGTTGAAAATGTTCTATAAACATTTAGACAACCCCTGCAACAGGAATGCAAGAACCAGGCTACCCAACATGTTGTCTACATCGATGTAGAACACACACAGAAGCTTGACAGGAAGTGAAACTAAATGCAAAAACACAGCTCATAATTCAAATTAGTAGTTAGCTATGTTGGTTTTTTATGGCACAAAAGTAGAATTGACTATGATGCACCAGATACTAGGTGATTTTAAATGACAGAAATGACTATGATGCGCCAGATACTAGGTGATTTTATTGAGATGGTAAGATGAGTGCGAAAAACATTTTGCTTAAAATGCATGTGGCCTTTAGAAACTGAAAAACCGTCTTCAATGTAGACTATTGCATTTTCGGATGGTATTAACATTGGGTGCAAAAGTGTGTGTTCTGTAAAATCTTTAAAATATTCTTGTCTTCTATTTTCTAAAACTGGACATGTAACATTATTAATAGTCAAAGGTTCATTACACTGTTTGCATTCAAGCTTAGGAATCTTCTCGCAGTAAAATGTTGTGAGTTAAGGTGGGTGTTATATTTTAAATGTGATGGCTCTTCATTACATGCTATAATTGATTCCTCATGACAAGGACAGCATACATACAATGATCATGAAGATAATGTATACAGAAACAAAAGTCTTCAGTCAAAGCTAAAGTCACTTGCATGCCTATATTTCATCATGCCCACACTATGGAATGCATAGGCTAAATTCCACAGTAACTGACTGCTCCTCTGTTGCGTTGCCTCTAAAGACACCTGCCTGTTTCGTCATTTGTGATGTGAAACGTGAAACTGTTACCCATCGGCCCAGTCAGTGACTTTTTTCTCCTCCTCTATAACTTTCCTTCCCCTCTTTCTTTCCCCAGTGCAGGGTAGCCTACCGGGGCTCAGACATGGTTAACTTCTCGCCTTTCTTATTATTTTGTCTCTCTCTCTCTACCAATCCAGTGCCACTTGCGGGCACATAATGATGGCGAACCCTGGGCTTCCAAGGGACAATACCCGGTCGTCTACATAGGACCACGTGGTGGGTCGTTGACTGCTCTAGTGATCCCTGTTATGGAGTCAATGGCTCGCTGCATGTTCCTGTTGCACCTAGATGAAGCAAGTCCGTTCTGATGAGATCAGCATAATGTCGGACAGGCAACAGCGCACGTGCACGGGGCTTTATTGTTCACACACAGAAATATTGCTTCACAGTCACCACATCCGAGCTTAGGAATGTTGCTTTGTGTAGAAAGACGACTGCCGTCGATGGCCAACAAGGTAGCCGCACAACAGCAGCTAATCTAACCAGCAGATAATTTAGTGGCTTTAACTCTGCTGCTGTTAAGTCTGCTTAAAGCTGCAACTACACACAGATAGCACTTATACAAAAGCACTGGCATTGATGAACTCAAGTTGGAACTAGTCCTTCATTCAGTGACCTGCTGAGTCAATATTTTGCAAACCCCCAATGGGATCAATGACTTCTATGCGCACACATGTAATATTTCTAAACTTGTATGAGTGCACCCGCTCACATGAGACTTCATGTGAAAGTCATGTGAACTCTTGTAATATTTTTATTTGCATACCCTACTCATCTGTATAATATTGTTCTGAAAACTAAGTTAGAATTGTTTACCTTTTCTAGCTCAATTTATGTCTGACATAACAGAAGTTGTTACAAGCACACCAGTATGTCTCTTCGCATTAAACATGGATAGCTTCCGAAAGTGACGCTTGCTCTTCTGTTTTCGAATAATAGTGTCAAGCAAAACTTGCGATTGAAAATCTTCCCAACACTATACTATATTCAACCGACCCTGAGCCAAAATATTTTTTTCCCACCATCTTCTATTCCACACTGGAACATAACTGCTTTAAGAAATGATGCTGAGACTACACTTCTGCCCATCATCATCAATGAAATTAAATGAGATTAGCCAATGTGCACTGCTTCAACTTGGTCTTGTGTTGCCTCGCATACAGTCATGTGGTTTATCACTGTGACCAATATGCATAGTCAGCTCAACTATACACAGGGCACAGTCAAGGCACAATGTCGGAACGCCGCATTGTCACAAAGGATTTCGCATCTTCTCATGGCGTCTAAAGGCGTATGCCGAGTTTAGGAAGAGCAGCACACAGGCTACACTATTCAACTAGCATATCGCAGTTTGCACTACATGTCGAGAAAATGCTATTTTTGGTACTTTGCAACTCTAAAGCAGTATTGTGAAATGATGTCTATATGAAGCTCTCTTTCTAGGTTTCAGAAAGCATTCTTCTTTGAGAGGTAGCCAGCACAAACCCAACGGAGGAAACCAGAATATAACATACATCGCTGCATGTAAAAAAATGACAGCAGAAGTGTGTCCAATGTCATTCATCACTGTTAATGATACTGGCGTAACGGCTACTTAGCACTCCATCCGCTTTGTGAAGACGCACGAAGCATCTCAACACACCGATTCTGACGCAAAACTTTCTTGCAGTGGCCGTCAGCATTGTGGGAAAATGCAATTGATTGCTGGGGAAAAATTAGTAACGGCATGGTATTCTTCCTGACAAGGCAGGTGCATGTCGTGCAATGAATAAGGACCTTCTAATTCGGTGCTAGAGGCCCTCACATCCCTAGCAGATAAGTGATATCACTAGTGCTTGTGCATGACGTCGCACTGCAAGCTGGATAATCCGTCGATCAAGAAGCCATTGTGTTGGCTCAAAAAAGGTTATTTGCTATTGCCCATTCATTCCCACACAACGCGAATTGCGCTAGCTGTATGCTGTTGCTGTGGTCCCATGACTGTGAAACGATATGAGGTGGCTTACAATTTTTAAATGTCCGTTGCAGCTCGAAAAAGCATTCAGGCTGTGCCAAAATCAAAGCTGTTGCACTTAATGAGGACTAGCGGCAATTTCTTAAGAATGGCACAACCAAGAAATTTGAAACAATTATGATGATTACCAGGTTTGATTTTAGCATCAGTGCTCACCTGTGCGTCGTGACATTATGAAAAAGATGTTGGTACTGGGGCGCAGAGTCTTCTGGACCGTGTGGGGACGGATACGAGACAACCATCATCACCTGGGCGATTTGGAAACAGTTGCTTGGACTGGCGCAAGAAAGCTACACTGTCGTTGGTCACCAGGTCAGGGTAGTAGTCGCGAGCATAGTCCAGACCATGCTTGCGTTTGTGACCGTTGACATTGACAGTGTAGTTGTAAAAGCGAGAGTTGCGGACTAGAGCGGCCCATTCACGCCAGCCGGTAGGAATGTGGTTGCCATTGTATTCATTCAGGTACTTGCCAAAGTAGGCTGCAAGGGGGAAAGAAGAAAATAACAATCAGGGTACCCACTCACAAGTAGCCAAATATATTTTGTTATGATGCCAGAAAATATATTAAATGGCTGAATGTTTCCGTCTTCCAAAGTTCCATCAACATGCACTGCACACCACAACCATACACTTTCGCCCTTCCATGAGCAAAAGAAGTCCTGAAGGCCTTATCATAAGCTTGAAAGCCAAATAAGCACATTACCACAAAGCAGATGGAGACTACTTACAGGAGCTCTGAAAAAGAATAAGAGATCGAGAGAGTGTCGTGAGAGGCTGTACAGAATTATAAAACGGGGATGTTTTCATCAACACAACCGCAGTAAAACACAGCTATGAAGTGGCCAGCAAATTAATAGCAACAGCTTGAAGAAGCAGTGAAGAGAAGAACTACAGTAGACTCTCAGAAAGTGGAATTGCTGTTTAAATGAATTAACTGCCTCCAACACGATCGTCTTCATAGGGAAGTTCTACACCCCTGTTCATCTACACCCCTGCCCAAATAAAGAGTTGCATACTTCCCAGAGTTGCGGCTGCCTTGTTCACCGTCACAACTATGTTACAATATCGCTCATGCCAGTTTGTTATATGCTTCTCCATTCATCATATAAGTGTTCTGCTGTTATGAGCATCTCGAAGTGCTACGAGTAGAAGCAAGAGCCAAGACAAATGCTCACCTGTTCGATAGCCTGCTGCACTCAGGTACGTAGCAAATGAGCGAGACTCAAATTCTTGCTGCCACTGGGGCGAGGAGCAATTATCACTGTTGGTGAGCACGTGATGGTTGTGAGCATAAAGGCCAGTGAGCATAGAGCTTCGCGAAGGGCAGCACATTGGAGTGGAAACGTAGGCCTGTGGGAAATGAGCGCCCCCCTCGCCAAGGATCTGCAACGTCTTTGGCATAAAACCCATTGAACCTGTGAAAAAAACAAAAAGAAGAAAAACAAAGGGAATGATCATGAAACCCATCCAACCTGTGAAAGAAAAAAAAGTTGAAGGAAATAATCGCTACCCATTCACAGATGAAAAATTCTGTAGGGTCAAGCAGAACCGCAACATTCACAATGTTGCAAAGCACACTAGACTACAGAAGCCTTTGACAATTGTGTCAAAGTAAGGAAATGATGATAGAAGTTGTGGAATGTTCTTTTTACCAATGAGATGATAAACAGAGCAATCCATCAGAAATTTAACCGAATGTCAAATGAAGCATTTAAAAATATTCAATTCCTGGCTGCTATTTCACTAATGCCTTTTCTGATTATATGTCTTTTCAAAAACGCATCAGAGTGAAAGGTCACTGACGCTAACTGTATTTTTCAGCCATGAACAGAGGATTATCAGACTAGAGTGAAATCAGCTGGAAGGTACTGCACAGTATAATATAGCAGCCTAGAGTTCGTATAATTCAAATATTTTTATTGCTTAATACTGTTTTGCTTACTCTCCATTTAAAACCAACTGAGCCATCTTGCATGGAACAATAGTCGAACCAAGGGAACAGCATAGACACGAAATTATTACAATATTCTCGCCCCACACTTTTGTGTTGCAAAAAACACAAGGCCAACAACACAGCAAAGCTTGCTCACCAAGCTCCACATCTTGGTCGTCAGTCAATATGAGTATGATGTTCGGCTTCTTCTCCCTGGGCAGTAGATTTTGCTTTGGCAGCCGTTGATCCCGTCTACGTTGAGCAGGTGTCGTGGGCATGGCAAACGTGTCACGCCAGGCAGATGAGGACTTGTCAGTAGGGCGCGGATGGCCATGATTTTTCCCGATGGACTAACTCTTCCGGAGACCATGGGTGGTTCTTGGCCCTTCGAAGATTGCAACGAGATTTTCTTTCCTAATGACGCCCTTGTCAATAGTGAGACGAGGCAAATGATGATCACTGAGGCTTCTTGCTTTGGTCCATGGTATGGTCATAATTGGTAACTGCAGTGAGACCATGATAAGTTTCAGCTCAGTTATCTTGAAAGACAGACGGGTCGCACGCTGTCACAAGTGAAAAAAACTAACAGCACAGAACTCCTTGATATAGACGTCACACAACGGTGTGCAAGTTGTGCGAACGCAAGACGCGACCACTCAATTATTTAAAGCGTTCAGCAGGTTTGCATCCTGACTTCAGTGAAGCGTGTCCACGCCAAAGTCCGAGTAGCAACTATGCACGGATGAAATGTGCGAGCGCACGTAACAGCTTGCTACAAAGGAAACATGAGTGAAGCGCTTGCGCATTACAGGAGCGCCACACATTTCAGCGCTCATCTGACTTGTCTTTTCTTACGAACAGAAATCAGCCATAATTCGCGGTGGTTAGAAGCAATACGCCGGCAACTTCCATACACCCGTTTGCAACGGCAGACACGCCTACGCAGTACACCGAAAGAATGGGTCACACATGAGCGGTCTGAAACTTCACAGTAAAGGCCGACAGCGAAGACTGACCAGTAAGTAATGACCATCAAGGTGCTTGGACAAGGAAGAATGGTTAGCAAAAAAGTGGCGGAAGTCACTTGGAAAAAAAAAAAAAAGAGGGAACAGTTTGTGGAAGGAAAGGGCTGCGGCGTAGTAACTCCGAAAGCGCGCGAAGGGGCAAATTTCAAAAACGCTTTCAGGGTAGCACCCTGATCCATCCCGCGACCATCATCGGAAACAACGATCTAAAATCCTCACAAAAAGCCCGGACAATATTCATCAAGAGACCCTTACAAAGCGCGTCAACAATGAAACCGCATTAGTGTAATGCTGAGTATGCTCGTAGTTTAGCAGACATTACAAGTTCTTCGTTTGCTTTTGACAGATGAACACTTGAGCGAAATATTCAAGCCAAACACATAGCTACAACAGTGGCGACACTTTTGTTACTGAGCGTGATGCGACGGCATCCTAGAGCCCCAGAGTGCGCAAATTTTATCCGGTTGTTACTTGTTTACTCACCCGGCCTAAACAAAGGATGTGGGCACAAGAACTAGATATGTTGGTGAAGAGTATAGTCACTGGAGGGAATATCTATTGGTAATCTCTGACAAATAACTTGAATTGCGACATCTTTCCCTTATTAAGGCAAGGGCGGACCTCAATAATAACCGTAAAGCGTGGGCCCGAAGTCACGGCTACGGTCGCCTCATTCAATGAGATTCCCCAAATACAACTTGGACATGGTAGCGAAGAGCAGAGACGCTCGCGAGATGGCACCTCGAAGAATCTGATTGGATACTTAAAAGTTGCCGCCATTGTGTGTAAGTTTCGTTTTTAGAAGTTGCTACTTGTGGATATTTTACTGTGTAAGCTATCACTTAGAACTTTGAATCACCAGATATTAAATAGGCTAAATAAACATCGACGTATTTGCAGATTGCGAAAGCGAGCTGTAGCACGTTATTGTATTTATTACCCCCGTTTTATTCTGAAAAAATAAAACACTGCGAACAGCAGCTGCTGATTACAAAATTTTCATTATTTGTTTTTCATCAACGGTCACAATTTAAACCACCTTAAAATTACTTTTATACTCTTTCTACAAAGAAGACAAGTGGCATTCTTGACATGCACTACATGAAGCGCATTTTTCAAAAATTGCACCTTTCCTTTTATTCTTATCAGCACTTAGAAGGCGTTAGAATGCCTGTATCTTATGTTTGCAAGCTCAAAGGCAATAATATTGCCCGGGATGAGTAGTCACGTATCACTGGGACAGTTGACACTTGTTAACAAAAAGTGATAACAACTTGTTTACATCCCTTTCGGGCCATTTCGTGCGCCAACAGGCGTGACCAAAACCATCGTGCGCGATCCTTTAGTCAGCAACCCGCTTGTGTACACTCATAGTCAATAACGTGAAGACGGAGTCAACGATTTCTTCGAACGGTCTCACGCAGAAAAAATTGCGCGGCAACCGCCGGTAAGCAGTTGCGTCAACGCTCGAGATTTCCAAATTTCGTAACATCAGACATGCGTCACTCTATTCGTCAAAACACGTCACGCGCTACAAGAAATAGTTCGTTTAGAATTTGATCTGTGTAACTTTTTACAACAAATAAACACATAATAAGTAATGAAAACTGTTTTACTTAAAACTTTCAATGTCTAAAATGCTACACTTAAGTTTACAGATACCTAAAAAGTTTTATTGACGTCACAGGTTCTTCCGGGGTGGGAACCATCGTTGCACCTCCTCTTTTTGTATCACTCCGCGTCTGCCTTCGCGTTGCACAATGGCGGTGCGTAAGTTGGCTTTCCATAGTTTGTAGCCGGTCCTGTGTAGGGTAGGCCGGCACGTAAGGCCGTATCCGTCGGTTGGTCTCGACACACGACGAAGAGGACTGCACACTGGAATACTTTACAAGCCATCACATGCTACTACCCGGCCAGGAAACAAAGACAATTAAGGTGCGTAATTTCTTGTCTTCCTCCTCGTTACCGACGAATTCGTCGCAGTAGATTTTTTTTTCCTCCCTTTGCCGCTTCGTTTTCCTGTTGTGTGTTCGTCATTTGTGCTACAATATCGGTCCGTGTTGCTGTGACCAGTTCACGGTCGCCGTTAACTAATTCGGGCGAGTCGAACCAACCATATTTTGAACGTGCGCCTCGGGGAAAACATTGCGTTATTGATCGAAACAGATAGCGCCGAGCGCGTTGCTGCGCTCTATCGAGTCTTTCTCTCATCCTTGAAAACAAGCTCTCGTCCGGCGCACAAGGCTTCGCTTGGCGGTTGTTATTCAGCCTCAGTTAGATGCGTTGTACGCCAGCCTGTGAACGATAGCGCTGTATTTTTCGGTACGTTCCCGGGTTTGGGTCATCTTTTTGGGTATGGTGACACGTGTGCTGCTTTGTAAACTGCGTGGTCCTGCCACGCGTATGCTTTTCCGCCATCTGCGCGTATTTGTGTACGTTCTTTGCGTTCGCCCGATTCTCGCTACTCGCAGCGTGCTTATGTGTGTCCCTTTTCTCCGTTTTCTTCGCAGCTTTGAAGAAGTCAACACGCAGACGCCTAAAAACGACCACCGACGCGACCAACCGCACCTCGCAAAACTAGTTCAAGGAGTCATTGTTCGCCGACGTGGGAGCGCGGTTGCCGCATCGGGACGCAAGTCGCTGCTGCCCTTCGGAGAGAGCAGCTGGAATTCTTCGCGCCGCTCAGCGCGTAGCGAAGCCGTCGATATTTAGTTTCTTTCGCTACCGAAACGATGTACCTTACGACGCACTGAAGCCGGAGCCAGTGAGCGGCTGGTGGCCACACGGATACGCAAGGCGGATTTGTGATTGAAAAGCGGACGTGTGTTGGAGGGCTCTCTCCCCCTCGCTGTGTGCCAACGTCCTGTGTGAAACTCGGTGATCGACAATGAGTGTGGCGCGTCTCTCAGTGGATATTCAAGTGGCCCAGGAGAAAAGGCCCCATAGCTTCGACAAGGCTCCCGATGGTTCGTGCCTGGGCAGTGCCGGGGGCCTCAGCCCGAACCTTCAGCCTCCTACGCCGCCCGTATTTCCCTGCAACAGGGAGCCCTATTCCGCCAGCCTTGTTGGAGGGCGGTACATTCTGCTGGACCAACTCGAGGGCAGTGCCATGTACAGAAGCATCAATGTACTGACGCAAGAGGAATTTTCCTGCAAGGTAAGCTTCGTTTTGCGTCATGCGCGCTTCGTTCGCCTTTTTTCCTCTCCCGACACATCGTTATTTTTTCCTCTCTCACTCGGCGCCCGCTTTCCGGCCCTGAGCGCGCTGTTGCCGTTTTCCTGTTGATCACAGCGTTTAACGAAGCCTCCGTGCGCTTTTTGCCCGTTATTCATGCTACGAAAATCCAGGCACCTTCGAATGAGGTATGCTGTAAAACTGGACTACTCATCCCGCGCGGCGAACGGTACATGCATACGTACCTACGCCAGACAACTAGCCCGCATACGTGCGAAAAGCTTCCGCCGTAGCTGCGCAAAATAGTGTCGGGCTGCCACAGGCGGACAGCACAGCGACGCACGGCTTCTATTGTCCAAAAAAGTAAAGGGGGGCCCGAGCGACCTCTCCGGCAAGCGGCCACTTCCGCCTTGTTTTGCTTTTCTTTGGCGGCCCGAAAGAAAAAGAATTGACGAGTTGGCCGCTATGGCGGCGGCGGTAACCCCTTTGAGAGGCAGGCAACAGGTTGTCGACCCGGCGCGCCGGGCCGGCTATTTTCAGTGGCGGAGCTCGCGTCGTTGTGCCGCGGGCTAAAAGACGCTCAAGCCGGGGTCGTTTTGGGAATGTTGCTCATTGCTCTGATTCATTTCGTGGGGACAGTCGCTTGCCGCGCCGCGACTGTGTGGGCGCTTCTCCGGATAAATCGAGAGAGGCCAAGCAAGGGCCCCTGGCCAGATTCCAGACCTCGCAAAAAGCGGCTAAATGCGAACCGCAGTTGCACCCCGACTGTGACGTGGCCGCCGGTTTTTCAGTCCCGGGCACGACTATATCGGGACAGGAAGAGCGCGCCGCCAGCCACGTTTTCTTCTGCTTTTTTTTTTTTTTTCTCGTTCCGTCAGCGCGCTTCTTGCATCCCGGGGCGCCCAATCGCGCGCCGCGTGTTTACACGTAGCATCCTGTCTTGCCGCAACCTGCGTTTCACTCGGGCGCGCTTCTTTTTCGTCGCTCGACTTACTCAGACGGCCTGCCATTTCAGGACAGTTGGAATGCCGCGAATGGTCCAAGTCTCGAGAACAAAGAGCGCTGCCGAATCCGCCTGCCGCTCCCGGAACTGAAACCGCGGAACCCGTTACACCAGATCCGATGGGAAAAGCTGGTTTAATCCCGGACGCAGCTGCGGCGGTAGACCGCTGCGCAGCACGTTCCGCGAGTCGCAGTATTTTTTTGGTGGGCTTTCGCCGCGGCGCAGCTGGGTACGCTCGCGACCCGAAATATTTCGAAAAGCGTCGGCATCTCCGTGCTACGTGGCGTTGCCATCGGCGCGACATGAAGGAGAACGTGGCATCGTCTACGTTGTAACGCGATTACGGCATGTCTTCAAAAAAAAAAAAAAACGGAAAGTTCGATGTCCGCAACAGGACACGCTCGTTACGTCATTCATTGCGCCCAGGATTGCCTTTGGTGCTCGGTGGCGGTGTTGTACTCAATGTATTGGCACTCACTGCTCACTTTCGTTCCCAACTTTATATTGCGTGCGCATTATTGTGCACTTGGTGAGACAGGCCTGCAATAAATATATAAAACAAACTTCTACAATCGTTTAGTAAAAAAAAAGAGAAAAAAAACCATTTTGCAGTTTCCCACGCGTGGCAGCAACAACGGGCGAGAATAAAAGGGACGGTTACCGATTAGATGGTAAAGGGAATCGGAAAGGAGAATAAAAAAAAAAAAAAAACCTCGCGCACCTTGTTTGCAGCGCGTTGGCAGTGACCGGTGCGGCCGAACCGAACACGTGTCCAAAGATCCCGAACGGAAACGCGTTGGCCGTAGAAGAGTTGCCCAAACGCGGCAGCTCGTTGGCGCTATTTCGTTGCAGGCGAGTGATGCAACCGCATCCACCTATCGCCGCTATCGTTTGCCGTGTCCGTGCTAGCCTGGCTACCCTTTCGGCGGCGGCACTGCTGCCGGAGGATTCGGCCGGCCGTGCTCGCCGCAATCAGCGCGTCCGTCCGCTCGCTCGAGTATCGGAAACAGGCGCCGCCGCTGTTTTGTCGCAATATCCCTGCCCCCTCCACGATAACCTTCGCTCGAGCACTGTCGGGCTGTGACGTTCTCGCGACCTTGGGTTGACACGACCCGTCTGGATAGCTAGCCACCGACGGACAGCGGTTCGTTGTGCGCGATGAATCTCTATACTCTACTCTGACCATGAGGTGTCTAGGAGCTTGCAGTGTCACTACATTACTTGCCAATGTTGAAATGCGGTCAGGGTATTGGAATCCTGGTCGCATTTCAATAGAGACGATTTGCTAGAAGCCCGTCTTGCCAAGGCTGGCAGTGCAAACACGGACACAAGTGCAAAGTGAAGACACTGTTAACGCAGCCTATGAACTGAATCGCTCAACAACAAAACTGAAAAGGCACACAACTGCTATGTTGCAACTTATTCACTTATTGCTCAACGTTAGTGGTGTCTCGAACTCTTCTAGTGTATCGTGGTTTGGGGCATAAAACTCCCGACAGTTATTAATGTTGAAATGACTTATAATTGGCTTGGCGCATGTAAATATTAACACATTTCTCACTATTATCGGCATTATCTTGCTTTGTTTGCATGACGTAGTACAGAGTTGTGTAGTTAATCTAAACATTGTCAAGCCTTTCCGTTCTTCAAGCACGGTTTCACAGAAGGCAGCTTGCCTTTTAGAGCCATTGTTCTGCAAGTTGGCAATAAGTGTGAGCGTCTGATCTGTCTAGGTTGCCAACAGCCGGAAGCTGTAAACGTGCTTTTTACTTGTGTAATATTTATTATCATCATTGCTACGATTGTATTGCACAAACCTCTTTCAACATCTTTGAAGTTGCTGAATGTTTGATCTTAGAAGTATGGGAAAAAGAGAAAAAACTAATTTTGCGAAATTCTTCTTGTGCTTTCAGGTTATCCCTATCGATAGGTGGCAACAAGCCCTGGCAGCACATTTACGCCTCGATGGCCATGACCACGTCAATCAAGTTGAGGAGGTGCTCTTGGGGGAGTCCAAGTGCTACGTCTTTTTCAAGCGGTCGTACGGTGATCTCCATTCGTATGTGCGCTCTAAGCGGCGACTGCGGGAGTCTGAGGCGCTGAGCCTCTTCCGGCAAGTGGCATCGGCTGTCCAAGCCTGCCACAACGCCGGGGTCGTCTTGCGTGATCTCAAGCTCCGCAAGTTTGTCTTCGAGGACCCTGAACGGTTAGTGTCGAGAACAGTGATCATATATTTCTTCTCGCCACTTGCAGAGTCCTGTTAACGACATTTGAGAGTATGAAAACAAGCTTTCCAGTACCTGAACTGTTAGGTGTGAAGTGGGCATGTTGAATAGGTTCGGTTATGAGCTCTTAAGGGCTTCCAGCCCCATTATGTAAACTCTGTTGGATCAATCGCATGCATATCATAAGGCTAGCACCACTTCTGTCTTATTCTTAGTAGTGATTTCTTGAAACAGAGATTCCTGCTGGTGAATAACACATAACAGTGACCGGAAGCTATTGTTTAGCCTTGCCAGCAGACAGCAGCGAGCTTTTATAGCGAACATTTTATAGGAATGAGTTGAATCGCTATTCGCAGAGATTGAGACACTACTTGGTTACAATCTGACATATCTATTCATGTTTTTTTTTTTGTATGTTCCTTTTCATTTACAGAACACGGATCAAGCTGGAAACATTGGAAGATGCTGTGGTCTTGGAAGACTTCGACGACGATCTTCTGAGCGACAAGCATGGCTGCCCCGCATATGTCAGCCCAGAGATCCTCAGCAGCTCGACGAGCGGTCGCTACAGTGGCCGTGCGGCCGATTGCTGGAGCCTTGGGGTGATGCTGTACACGCTGCTCGTGGGTCGCTACCCGTTCCATGACGGCGACCCCAGTATACTGTTCGCCAAGATCCGCCGCGGCCACTTCACCGTGCCCGAATCGTTGAGTACACGAGCGCGATGCCTCGTGCGGTCGCTCCTCCGGCGCGACCCTTCCGAGCGCCTCACTGCCGACGAGCTGCTCTCCCACCCGTGGTTCACATCGTCGTCTCCGAGCTCGCATCGCGATGGGTGCCTTATGCGGCTCGACGTGGACCAAATTGTGCCAACCTGTAGTGCTGCGCACGACTGATGCTCGCACCGCCTAGTCGACTGCTGGCCGGGGATCTCACTGCCGTGCTGCTGCGCCTGGGGGACTTCTCAAACAAAACTGCAGCATCTGTTGCCACCGACCATTCCTACAACCAGCACCATTATTGATTCATCCGCTGTGCTATGTTTTTTTTTTTTCGTTGCCCCCGAAACTGCCTAAGCTGCAGCTTTTAGCTTTCCCGGTGACTCTTCCTAAGCACTTCCAAAGAGAGGCAACCAAGCTGCATCAGAGGTGGATGTTCACCAGTTTCATGATTACTTGTTGCTGCAGATGCAGCAGCAGCCTCGAGCTTCGAGTCGTTCACTGTACAGGCTGTCTTCCCACTGTCCCATCTGTTGTTTCACTTGGTGAGGAGAAAGCGCGTCTTCATTAATATAGATATGTATTCATTCCTACACACAAGCCTTCATGCACCGACTCGGAGCAGAAGGAAAAAGAGCCGACAGGAATTTAGAATTACGGCACCGTGCAATTGTGTGAGTGTCGGGGGAGGGGCAGACGGAAACCACCAACGACCGACTCTCCCATGCCTATGATCAATGCTGTTGAATGTGCAAAGTGACTGTAGTGATTTTTTTTTTTTTAGGGGAAGGGGGGGGGGGGGTTCTCCTGATCTTCTATGTCTTGTCTGTGACAACTAAATTTATTTAAATATACTAGGGGGACTGGCAATCCCCTGTCGATTTAATGCTTTTGTGTGACAGGCTAGTGCATCGAAGAAATGGGGAGCGTCATTATGGATGCAATGTGTGAATGATTCATGCTGGCTCGAATGACGTGTAGTAGTTGGGAATCCATTGTGAATGTAAATAAACTTGGTACCTCCGTCACAAGAAAACGTGTCTCCTAGTATTTTTCTCTCCATCTCTGCAGCAAGCAACTCTAAAATGGTTGCTAGTCACCATTTCGCTACTGCAGTGGCTTGGTGGGTGCAGCATCGCGATACTCGTCTCGTGGATGCCCGCTCTTTCGACTCCTGGATGTCAATGCAGGGTGAAATACAGAAATAAAACCTGGAGTTTCGGAAAGCCTACATTGCCAGTAAAAGTCTTCAGCTGAATTCAAACACCTTTTCTTTTATAAGTACTTTTTGCCATGAGGTATAAAAACCTCATTCAATAACACGCTGCAAGCGAAGGCACCAGAAAAGTCTTATTACTCAGTGCACAACTCAAAGAAACAAGCTAATTCACTGTTTTAAATGATAATTGAAGCAACAGGAAGTTTTTTTGGGAAGCAATGCGTGCTGCCGCGAATTGTTGAAACCTATCAAAAAGGCAAATGCGTAGGTTCTGCGTTTGTTTCTACAATTTTAGCATTAAGATTAGCAGCACTTGTGAATGATTCTAACTTTTTCATTGTTCGATTGTAAAAAGCATCTACAAACGCAAAGTTTCAATATTTCGGCCCTTGAAAGCAGTATTGGTACTTTTATTTGAGCCGATTATGAAAATGTGCATTTATGGGCACTATTAGCACTGGCATTAGGCACACAACCTCAGTCCCAAAGGCTGTACTACACACATGTTTATTGAAAGACCTCAATGTTCAATTGAAGAAATGGTTCATCTGCCTGAAACAGTACCCCTGCAGCAATGTACGAAAATTCTGTGCGCTGCTCTAATCCACAGGAAAATAAGCATTCCAGCACATTTGCCTTCGTGAGCAATTCTAGAAACAGAGAAATGCTTGAAAAGTGAAGTTCATGCAGTACAGATATTTGTATCTCGCTTAGTTATCATAGTAGCACAATAAAGCTGTCACGGATAGTTTCCTATTGAACAAAGCCTTGTAAAACACCTTTTATTCACCTAAGTTTTACTGCCACAATGTAAACCATTCCATAGTCTCAGAATAAAATCCTGGCAATTCTTAATACTAATTATGAGAACATTTGCTTCATAAGCAGTAACACGTGCAATTATATACTAATTCACTGCTCCAAGTTGTGGAAGTTCAGCTACAAAATATGTGAGAGGTCCAGCCACAATAGATGCACTGCCAAGGCTGTGTGCCAAACAAAGTCTGCGCGTTTAAGGATCCTTTGTGGCCACTGCTCTCAGCCGCACGAAGCCACTACTGCCTCTTAAGTCGCCAAAACTGGTAATTAAACTTACAGCTGTCAAATATATCAAAGAAGCAGTCATGATTCGGGTTAATATTCATTTAAACATTGCAAAACTATACCAGAAACAAAGTTTTGTTTCACCTACTCCATAGTAGCTTTGCACACCTCCATGCTGCTACTATGTCTGCTTGCTACAAAATAATTAAAGAAGAATATCTCCTGCCCCTAGATCAACAGTTTGTTTGTAGATGTATAAAAAGATGAGCTTATTGAAGTATATAGAGTTTTATTCGTTTATTGAAGAAGCAACGTTAAGAAATGCCAAAAAAGAATGAAGGCTGTATTGATTAAGGGTAGGAAATCCATTATCCCCAAGGCAGTTGGCCACTTCACGTCGCAAAAGAAAACAAAATTTTATACGCTGTGATTCATTTTACATCTCGGAGCAGATCGGCGAAACATAGAGTAGGTAAACGGCTATAGACTTTCAGCATCTGATTGCAGTTCCTATGGACATGAATGTTCCAAATGTGCCACCGCCCTGTAGCATCACTTTGCCAACACTCTGGATCAGTTCTCGCCCCCTCAGGCCATATCTGAAAGCAACAGAAACCATATTTTAGAAAATATTCTATAATTTTAAACAAGTTGACTTCTTTAAATGTTACATTACACTCTTCTTAGGCTAAAGATAACTTGTACATAAGTTAAGAGAATCAGGATCGGTAGTGCTATATTATGAACCAAATAGTTATGGAACACCCCTGTTTTGCCATATTCTCTCATCTTCCTTATGCAGCCAAAAAGCACTGGTTGTTGAAATATCAATATGCACTAGAGTTTTTTGTATACTGTCAATAAATAAAGGACACGTGAGCATCTAGTTGCACCAGACCTAAAATCACAGTAAGCTATTGCGAAAACTTCACATTAGTTTGGACAAGCATTTTTTGCCCCTCCATTATGTGGCACCTTCTTATAACATATTCGTACGGAAACTGTTGAGGCAATGTGGCACCATGATATGATTGTACCATAGTAACTTTTCGGTAGTGATGCACTTGAACCATAAGATCAGCAACAGGTAAACAGACTGTTGGATATTGGTTGAAGGTTGCATCTAGAGAAGCACCACAGCAATAGTAAAGCATCAAATAGGATATGAAATTTATCAATACGTTATGAATGAGAGGACAAAAGATAAACAACAAGGAGTGGCAATGAGAATTCTGATTGTGTGGTTTGGTTTGTCACAAAACAACCACACGTAACGGTCGTGAACACTTCTTCCTTTTAGCCTATTATCAAATGCTGGAGCACCGAGCAAAGGAGATGGCGCGGTTAAGAATTGTATCTTACGCCGTGCTCCCTTTGCACTGCACATATATAACTCAGAAAATGGGTAGTGAAACAAACTGTTCAGGGGTCCTCTGACCTGAGAGCGGAAAAACCTCCGAAGAGCGCTCCTGACGCCATTCCGACGCAAAAACCAATCGTGAAGCCCATTTTCACGCGATCCCAGCAGCTGGGACCTCGCTGGTAGCCGCCTTGTACCGGAACGGGCATCTCGTTGCTGCCACATGGAAGAAAGCGAAAACTCAAGCTCGCCTTGATTCGCGCAAAGACTGCCATCACGACACACAGGCTCAGCGCACAGCACAGAATTGCTATGGTTTTACGACCCAAAACCAAGACATGATTATGGAGAACGTCATTCCTTCTCATTAATAAGCTTAGTGTTGATTTCAGATGCAGTCACAATGTGTTTAATGTACCGTCATGAACGCTTGCACTCTATAACACATTTGTCTTCAAAACATCAATAAATAAGGCTAATTGGTGTGCATTCATTTGTTCTTGTCCTGTATACCACTACACGCCAACTGGAAACAATAAAAGATACTGCTAGTAATAACTACTTGTGTTATACAAGCCAAAGCCACCATATGATTATGACGGAAGCCGTAGTGGAAGGCCTTGGCAATTTTAACACCACTTTGTTCAACGTGCACGTAAATCCAGGTGCGCGGTTTTCTAGCATTTCACTTTCATCAAAATGCGGCTGCCCACGACCTTGCGGTCAGCAATCGGGTATTATAACCAATGGACCACCTTAGCAGGTAAGCAAACTTTTCGTAAACTACCTGTTGTGAACTATCAACGGTCCATTTCACAGCGTGCAAGCACAACTCTCTTACCTCTCGTGAAGATTGGTACACGGTACCATCCCATCACTACGCGGTGGTTCCATGAAAGGCGAATGAGTTGGTTTCACAGCATGCTACTCTAACGCTATACCTAAACTACTTCGATAGTTATCAAAGGATGGCGAGTGTGATGCGCTTAAGGGGCGGTATGAAATAATCGGGATGCTTCAATAGCCATGTGGCATAGCATGCGGAGGTCACAAAATTCTCAGCGCTCAAGCACGCATTAATAGTTACGAAAAGAAACGACAACAAATATATAGGTAAAGCGGCGTTCCGTAGGTTAAACTTACCCTATTAGATGATAGCCGAAGGTCTAGCACAGCGTGATTAAGGAAACGAAGATATTTTTTACTACACAACCATGGCTGGTAAACATTCAGCCATGGCGTGATGTCTCCCGCGATGGTGTCTTATTATGAAAAGAAAGCAACCATTAAACAACGTGAAGTTCACGCATAAAAAGTTTTATGTATAGAACCTTTTAAGAATTACAAAATATTATTCCGAAATATGCAACATAACTTTAAACAAGCACTACAAAATATGATTATGCTCTTATAAAACATTAACACCGCTATCAAGCGTCTGGCTCAGTGGTCTAGGGGTATGATTCTCGCTTCGGGTGCGAGAGGTCCCGGGTTCAAATCCCGGCTGAGCCCAAATTTTTTTAATGGCATGTGGTTTTTATTTTAACGTGTCCGTGTTTGCTCTACGTATGACGATAGTCATATCGCGGGAACAAAACGATGGCACAGTGTCCTTCGTGTCTCTGTGTCATCGTTTTATTGTCCTGCTATAACTATCGTCATGCCATACCAACTAGCCCAAGCTGCCACACTTCTATGCTCTACGGGTTTTCGACACTTCTCAGTGGGAAACGTAAGCTGTTATATCTGCTTGAACCGGCTAATAATAAAAGGCATACGTACATGTAAGTACAGCGGGGCTCATAAGTTCCCAGACCACGCTCCCATAAGACAACATGCGATAGTGACTGAAACCTTTTGACCCCCCCCCCCCCCCCCCCCTGTACGTCCCCACCAAAAAAAAGAAAACTTTTTTTTTTTTTTTTGCCCACTGCCGTTTTAGAAGGTTCCTTGGGCACGTTGACTGCAGCCACGCTTGTCTTCGTTCCTTTCTCTTTCTCGCCTAAATAGAGCCATTGCGCTGATCGATCATGAACGTGTTCCAGTAAGCCAAAATTCCTTCCTAATTACGAGCCATGTTTACCCCTTTGGTTTGATAAGCGAAAAGGTCTGAATTCCTTTTGCTTTGAAATGCCAAGCTCTGAACCACGTGGCCCCTTCGCGGAAGGCCAGGTTACAAAGAAGGCAAGGCTGCAAGCTTCGCCCAACCTTTTCGCAAGCACACCTGTTGCGCGAGGCCTAACTACAAAATCCCGAGACACCTGTCGGTGGGACAGATGCGTCTAGAAAAAGTGGACTCTGTATCCCATTGGGGCTGTCGCGATCCGATCGAAATGAGCGGAGAGTTCCGGCGTATCTGATCAATGCGCAACCGAGAGCCCGTGTCGGCATACGCTGTTGCGTCGTCGTCTTCGGAAATCTTTCGTCACCGCGTAGACGGCTGCCGAGCCGCCGCTTGCACAAGCAAGCTGCAACGGCTTCTCTTTCGCTTGCTTTCGCCGTGTTTTTCAAGGGAACCAACCGTTCGAGCTATTTCGTCGCCGCGGCAGGCGAGGCCGAGGCGTTGGTTTGTGATGCAATTCCGGACGCCGTGCGCAGCAGCGCTGTTGCTTCCAGCGTTGCGTACGCACTCACAGCCACGCGCATCGCAGTCCCAAGAAAGGACAGGCGAGCCAACGATGAAATTCGCGCTCTCTTCATATCCTTCTTTTCTTATCATTCTCTCTCTCGGCGTGATGGAATTGGCCCATGGTAGTTGAAGAGCGGTGTAGAGCCTCGTTAGCTGTGGTCGCGCGACAATTATTGCCTCCGCGGAAATCGCAGTTGACGCGCAAAGGCCCACGCGCGTGTATATTACTCAAGCTGTGACGTAGTAGTCGCTCGCGTTTAGCGCAATTTTTCCGAGCTATTTGTTCACAAGCAGTCGAGCTGCACAAACGCAGGCTCGAAGTCTTGAAACTCTCGCTCGATGAGAAGTCGCTGACCGGAGCGAGCAGCCTGATAGCACGTTCGTCGTTTCACAATCGAGATGACTTTTTGGTCGCAACCACTTTGGGGGCTTTCGAGCAACGAACGTACGATACACAAGAACAAAATAGAAAAGCGTGTGTGTGCGGTGGGCGGTTGGCATGGAAGCAACACTAACGAGTGTTGCGTCCCTTAGCGGTCATCTTTCGCAACCTTGGGTCGGCAGTGATGTCATTAAACCCAGACACCATGCCGCCACGTCCTACTGGATTGGCCGTGGCTCAACGTAATACTATGGCGGCTTAGTAGCACGTTGAGCAACCTATATAGCTTTTATCATGCGACAAATGGGTGATTCTAGTGTGCACGAGGAGTAATGCTCATTTTGCAGCCAATTAGCTCGTAACGGTGTCTCGGTAACGTACCATAAAAAGCCACGAAAGCATATTACCACACATCACCGAAGCAGCTGTTTGAGGACCATGATGGGCAGTTCTAAATCGGCTAACCTAAGCGCTCGCTGTTGCAAAGCTCTATTCAAATTTAAGAAATAATCTCACTGCCATGTTATTATTCATCTATTCTCCTCCAACAAACAAGCAGAGAAGTATTAAGCAAGCTTGTACATCCCACTGTAGTTTCACGAAGTAATTAATTAAAAGAAGACAGACAGGCTAAGAAAAAGAAAAGCAAAAACATTGTTCAACAAAAATTAGTCTGCTGTCACAATAAACCAGTTCTTATCCGAATCAACATCTTGAGCGTGCTGTATTACTCAGTCCTTTTTTGTTCTTTTTGGTCTTTATACTGGAGCTTGGGTGCTTGCAGAGTTGTCATGACTGATTTCAAAGCGTATTCTAATCTGGTGCGCGAATGCGAGCCTCTGAGCACTTTGCATTTGTCTTATCGGAATCAACGCAGTACTTTTGGAAGTAGAAATTTTAACCAGACCATTGTAAGCATTCAATAAAAAAATAAATAAGTAAATCAGCGGCATTTCACTGACGACTTGCGAGGAATTACAAGGTTAACTCCGTTACACCTAGGTTTTCGTTTGTGCGTGTGTGTGCGTACTTGTATGTTTAGATTTATGCGCCCTTTCGCGCTTGCGAAACCTGTTTTCGTAGTTTTAGTATATTGCACTAACGCCATGCAGAGGAACAGCGTACTTTCGTGTTCGTCTTCGACCTCCCACAGCAGTACCACTCCCCCCACAGTATCTAGCGGATCACGATAAGATATGATTTTGAGATTCGAGTGTAAAGCAAGTTTTGAATCATACTCGACCTTTCAACAGTCGAGTACAACAATTTCACCGTAAAGAGGCACAGCTGGATCAAAAACGTGGAAACTGGTGCTTTGGAAATACCGTCTTTTTTTCAGCAAGGGGAGGGAAAGACATCCTTCTCCCTGCTTTTTGCTGCCTGATTTGTTTTTTTTTTTTTGTACGACTACAGGCCCTGCCGTGGTAAAATGATTACTATTCCCAGTTCTGCTGCCAAAGTCGTGGTAGACTGAACTTTTTCATCACATGTAGGAAAGGGTTGTACCTAGCAAAAACCGCCTATAGGAAAAACAGTAGCCTATCGGATTATTGAACCTATTGCTCTATTGGTATCGTATGGGCCTTTAGGTGGCATTGGTGTCTATTATACCTCTGTTTGTCTATTAGTACTGTTGTGAGAATTGTAGAACTCGGGGTATGAGTATTAAAATAATGAGCAGATGAGGACTGCAACATAGCAGCACCATCATAAAACAAAAAAAGCCAGTTGAAGTGAAGCTTGTATTATATTTATTATATTTATAATTACCGCGAGATCATTTAATCAAATTGGTGATCATCCCCAAAACAAGGCTTCCAAGCGTGCTGTTCTTCCCTGTCGACTGCATACCTCTGCACACTTTTCCAGGTGGTGCCTGAAAAAAAAAAACAAATATAAAATAACAGGAAGTAGAAAGGAAAACTTTTAGAAGTGTTACACACCAAAAAAAAATGAAGCATAAGAATAAAAAAATGCAAATGCATCATACTGCGGAATCAGCATAAGGGACATTCCGGTGAGCTGGCAGTACATAACAGCCTAAAACAGTAGGTACGGATATTCTGTACCATCTGTACAGCGGATTCGGTTATGCTTGTGTCACAGAAACAAAACCTCAATCTCTTGTATGGACTTCGGACACTTGTGGGAAAAGAGAAATGGCACTAGCATCAAACCGATCTCGGCGTCTGGGCTTCGGGAGTCGCAAAAAAAGTTCCACCAAATAAGTGCCTCTTCCCTGCAACCATGTAGGCTACAGAATGGGGTTCAGTGATCATGACTTCCAATTAACCCTCTCTCCTAAGTGAATCATTATGGTTGAGTGAAGACATCATTACATAATTTTAGTCTTCTTGAAAAGCGGCAAAGGCACGAATTAGAAGCGCAAGCAAGACAACTTTTACTGACTAGCAAACGTATGAAAACAGCTCGCTTGAGCGGCAGGGTATCCTCGCTGCCTCTTCTTTATTCTCTCTCTCTCTCTCTGAATATGTATATGTATATATATATATATATATATATATATATATATATATATATATATATATATATATATATATATATATATATATATATATTGTGGGCATTTAGTATACCAATCCTCTTCATCTGTACATTATCATCATTATCATGTATTGCTTATGCATCCTCATCGTTGTCACGTATCATCATCATCTTGGTTCGTGCATCTCCGCTGTCGGCTGCCGGTTCCTCGGGCCTAATAAAGGTCTTCCAAACCAAGACTTCATACGTGGTGGAGCGTGCTGTTAGATCCCTCGTCATCCTCTCGACCACTCTACCCCCTGGAGCTACGTTCAGGTCGCCGCTTGGGCCAGGTGTCCGGAAATATGTCGCACCAAGAAGAGGTCGGTGCTGCAACCGTTCCCACTCCGCCACCGCGTGCCGCGCCTTTTCACGTCATTAACAGCCCCCAGCGTGAGCCCCATCCCTTCGCCGGTATGCGCGGGGAAGATGTGGAGGAATGGCTGGACGATTTCGAACGTGTCGGCGCTGCTAACCGGTGGGATAACACCTACAAACTCGCTTACGTGTCATTCTACCTCACGGGTGTCGCGAAGACGTGGTTCCTCAACCACTACATCGACATCCCCGACTGGTCCGCCTTCAAAGATCAGCTTCGGCATGTCTTTGGCACACCGACTGTTCGTTCGGCTCTCGCAAAGAAAGCTCTCGCGGCTCGGAAACAGCACATCGGCGAGTCGTATACATCCTACA